ACGTGGGGAGTGTGTGTGCCAGTAGTTGCCGGATCTTGGCCTCATCCTCAGGGGGCACGAAGGCGCTGTCCGACACGGAGGGAGCGTGCGACACGCCGGTGGCAGGATCCGTGTTGACGTATCCGCCGCCCATGGGACACAACTTCAAGAGCTGCGTCACGGGGTCGGGCTCAAAGAAGAATCCGAGATCGCGCGCGTAGGTGATGGGGATGCCTCGTAGCGCTGACGTCTCCTCCTCCGTCAAGTGAACGTGTGCGACCGACCATGATTTGGCGACAACTTGCGACCCAATGGCCGGCACTAGTCTGGCGGCGGCAGCCCCGGCCGCGACGATGACGAGCTCCGCGGGGTGGAAGCGACCGTTCTTCGTCCGGATGCCTGTGCTTCTGCCATCCTTGTAGGTCACTTCGGCGACGGCGCCATGCTCGCCCAGGAAGAAGCGGACGCCCGCCTTCTGGGTCTCCCGGTACACAGCTTTCAAGGCATTGCCCGAATGTGCGTAACCATCAAAGCTATTGAAGTATCCATGCCAGCCGGGGAACTGACCGTCATACTGCCAGAACCGTTGTCGGATGTCCTCGTCTTTTTCGATGGGAAGGACGTGTGGTTTGAGTTCCGGGTGGCTGTTGGCGGAGGCTTGGAAGCGTTTGAGAGTGTCCACCGCTCGCTCGGGGGCTTTTCCCGAGACACAGTGCAGGAAGCCGGTCTGGTGGAAGTGTGGAGCAAAGAGGGGAGTTTTCCACTCGGCGATCGCTTGCTATTCTGGGTTAGAAGGAGGCCAACGGCTGATGGGGCTCATAGGAGTCTACCAACCATGGTCAAATCCGTGTAAAACGGATCTTCATACTCGGCGCGCACAATCTTGTTCAGGTCATTGGCAGCGGAGGGGCGAGGAGGGATCTGGTCATCTTGCTCAAAGACGGAGATATTGTTATATCCATCCCGGGCCAGATGGAGGGCTGTCGAGAGGCCGAAGGCACCGCCTCCGACAATGGCAATGGGCTTGGATTTGGAAACCATGATGGTCAATTCGTAGATTCGTGATGCTGTCTCTACCCACAGTATCGAGAGCTGCATTAGTTCTTATATATACATGCAAGCGACCCCAGAGCTGTCGGGACGGAGGTGAATGCCCGGGAGCGTTGCCGGTCAAGGGCCCCGATAGCGATAGACTAGACTCTCGATAACAGCTTGCGATGCGGGGGATTTCGCACGAGCCCCACTTATAGCTTATCGCCCCATATTCATATCAACCATCGGGATGCAATCCGATGAGGGGTTGTGCCATGGTTCAATGGGTCGATGGGTCGATGGGTCCAGCTCCTTGCCGTTCCTGGTGCATGCGCTGTCAGGGTTTGAGAGAATCATGGGATCGTGTGACCTCCCTTTATTTAGGAAAAAATTTGCAGAGACAGAATCTAGAAACATAATACTTCTTACTAATCAAGAAGAAAAGAAAGCAATCAAGGTATATGCATACATACATATAGGTAGATAGATAGACACACACAAATACACCGACGGAGATGGAGGAGAGAGAAGGAAGCTTCCCTTCTACAGTCTATTGGGAGTAGACAATAATGATGAGATGATTAAGAATTAAATGGCTAATGAGTCCGTGAACTACAACAGTGATTACATCAAATAAATGTAAAACGTGAAAAACGTGAAATTTTGAAATCTAACTATATGTACATCTTTCCATAACATCGAAATTCATGCAGTCATGTAGTATCTAGTGGTTGCTAGGATAGGTGAAGCCCTCCAAGGGGAAGAACTCCTCCTTGATCATTCTGGGGCTGGTGAAGCGTCGCAGCATGTCGGAGCTACCAGCCTTGTCGTTCGTACCACTGGCACGAGCACCACCGAAGGATTGTTGTCCGATCAGAGCGGCAGTGGTCTTGCAGTTGATGTAGAAGTTTCCAGCGGAGTAGCGGAGAGCATCCTCAGCCTCACGGATCACACGGCGATCCTTGGCGAAGACAGCACCGGTGAGCGCGAAGCCACCGCCCTGCTGATCGGCCTTCTGCAGGATAGAGTTCCACTCTGCGTCAGGGTAGACATAGATGGCCAAGACGGGTCCGAAGATCTCCTCGTCAAACAGGCGGTGGTCAAGGGAGTGGGCCTGGTAGACAGTGGGGTGAACGTAGAAACCAACGGAGTCGTCGTAGGTACCACCGGCCAGCAGGGTCAGGGAGGGGTCCTTGTTGCTGGCATCAATGATCGACTTGATCTTGTTGAAGGACTGGCGGTGGATCACAGGGCCCATGAAGGCCTCAAAGTCCTTGTCGGGGCTGCCAATAGTGATATCCTTGACACCAGCCTTCAGCGCGGTCAAGAATTCCTCGGCACGGCTCTCCGGGAGATACACACGGGAGGTGGCCGAGCACTTCTGGCCTTGGTACTCGAAAGCACCGCGGATGGTGTGGTTGACCGCGCTGGGGATGTCTGCGGTGTTGTGGATGAGATGGAAGTTCTTGCCGCTGGTCTCGCCGACCACACGAGGGAACTCCCGGTAGGTCTTCTTGGCGATACCTTCGCCGATCTTGCCATAGATGCTCCGGAAGACGTCAGACGATCCGATGAAGTTCAAGCCGGCAAAGTCGCGGTGAGAGAGAGCCACGCTGGTGACCTCCTCCGCATCACCGGGCACAAACTGCACAACATCCGGAGGCAAACCAGCCTCAAGCAGAATCTTGTAAACCAATGTGCTCGCGTAGATGCTGGAGGGCGAGGGCTTCCACACCACCACGTTACCCATCAAGGCAGGAGCCGAGACCAAGCTGCCACCCAAGGCTGTGAAGTTGAAGGGGGAGACCGCATACACGAATCCTTCGAGGGGTCGGTATTCCATTCGACTAGAGAAATTAGCTGGGGCTTGTCACACCAGGATACTTGCGCTGGGCAGTACATACCTCCACATGCCATCAGTACCCCGAGTGGGTTGCTTCTCCAACAATTCCGCGGCAAAGTTGCAGTTCTGACGGAAGAAGTCGGCCAACTCGGCGGCAGCATCGATCTCACCCTGCCAGACGTTCTTTCCTTGACCGAGCATGGTTGCAGCAATCAGCTCATACCGGTATTTCCCCGTGGCCAACTCGGCCGCCTTCATGAAGATGGCTGCGCGATCGACGAAGGGTGTCTCCTCCCAGCTCTTCTTGGCCTTGAGAGCAGATTCGATGGAAGCAGCGACCTGCTCCTTGGAGGCAAGGGGGTAGTTGGTGAAGGTAGTGGCATGCTCTGAAGGAAGTGGTTGATCCACAGACTTGGATACCTGCTGTGCCACACCGTTGTAGAAGACTTCACTTTGGACGGGGAGTTGGGACCGGAGCTGCTTCAAGGCTTCTTCCACCTTGGCGCGCTCCTGGGAGCCTCGCATGTATAGAGGCTATAAGGAAAGGAATTAGTTTTCTAGGAATCCCATGTTAGAATATGCGATTTTGCACTCACGTTAGGTTCATTTCTGGCATCGGGGAGTCTGAAGGGTACGGTCGCCTTGGTGCGGATTTGCAAAGTCGCACTCGGGAAGGGTCGCAAACTACGCGCAGAGGAGCGCGCAGAGTTGGACAATCTCATGGAAAGCATCTTAGTAGAAGACATGATGAATTGATGTGAGGAGGATGAAGACAAAAGCCAGAACAGCATTCCAAGCTGCGGGCAGCTCCATCTTATGAATTGGAGATTTCGGCAAAGCATCCGACGCTAAGTCTGGGGTTTCCCCACGCCACGACTGATAGCGATCATGCACCGTCGGAAGGGAAGCCGAGCGCCTTCGATACGGATGACCGATGATAGAGAGTTCTATTACTCATGGAGCGCAATCAAGGGCCCCTCTCGGCCGGTTCGCTCTTTCTCGCACGTTGCCAGCAGGGTGCTCATCCGGTGTGGAATGTTGTAATGTGAACAACTATCCAGCAAGAACAAACAGTATCACGGCCACCTCCATGAGCTACACAACATCACAAACACTCCATGGCGATTGGAGTAGCTCCTTTGCGGGGAGACTCGCCGGAGACTTGACTGCTGCAGCAGTGTCGGCATCGCTGATTGCGCCTACAGTGGCCATTATTGATCGGTATGTTGGTATGGGCAATGCTCGACTTGGGAACGGTCGCTGATGAATAAACCACAGGGCCCTGGTCGAACGAGCCTCATCCGACAGACCTCTTCTCCAAAGTCTCCGTTCTCACACCCTGGCTGCTCTGAAGCGGCCGGGCGCATTTGTCTTCTCCCGCCCATACGGTCTGGTATGGACCTTATATGGAGCGACTTATGCGGTCGCCAATGGAACGGAAACCATCACAAGAGAGATTTGTCCAGCCAGAGTTGACCCGATTACATTTGCCACAACATTCATCGTCAATGTCCCTCTCGGTGTCTGGAAGGATATCCGATTTGCGCAGCTCTTCGGAAGTCGCATCGAATCGAGCGCAAAGGATGCTCTTCGCGTGTCTAGCAAGGTTGTCTCAAAAGCTGCCACGGCGACCTTCCTTCTCCGCGATGGAGTAACCATTTTTGGTTCCTTCACCTTGGCCTCATGGTGCTCGTCTATGATTCCTGATAGTCTCGCCTCCCAGCCCAGCTCGAAGACAGTCATCACGCAGATAGTTGTACCCGTCCTGTCGCAACTGGTGGCTACTCCGTTACATCTCCTCGGGCTCGATCTCTACAACCGCCAGTCGGGGGTATCATGGGCGGATCGAGTCGCCACGATTCGGAGACATCTGCCGTCTGCCACCGTCATTCGCTGTGTTCGGATTATTCCAGCCTTTGGATTTGGATGTCTAACCAACATTGGTTTGCGGGAGTTCTTCCATGAACAGTGTGATTGATCTGTAGTCCTCGAAAGCGAAGCCGGTAGAACCCGTATAAAGCCAAGTCATACATAGAATTACATGAGATATGAGTTGAAATGATAATTAATTTTTCATGGCGCCTATGTGTTTCCTACTGTCTAGTATCATTCAAATGACGGTTACCGTCCATAAGGCGCGCAATGGTTACGGCTTCTCGTAAAGCTCTCCCAACATGGCCACGCACCCCGCTTCCTCCATAACCATCAAACCTCCAATGGTACATCCTTCCGGCGACGTGCCCTGATCTCTTAGGACTGCCGGATGCATGCCACTTTGCAGAAGGGCTGCGGTTCCGGTCATAGCCTGAACAGTCATAGTCCGTGCCAGGTCCCTCGGCACGCCAACCGCCACGGCCGCATCAATCATAGCGTCGACGATCACGGCAAAGAATGCGGGAGTCGATCCGGCCACCGCCGTCGTGGCATCCATCAGGGATGGAGGGATGTGTACTGTCTTTCCCAGGTTTTCAAAGACCGCATCTGTGATCTTCTGGTAGTGCTCGGGGACATCTGGCTCTGATATCTCGATGGCCGTAAGGCCTTGCGAGACTGACGCAGCGATATTAGGCAGCGTGCGTACAACCCATGCCCGACCGCTGGCATTGCTGTTTGTCGTCGGACTGCCATACAGGGTGGTCTCAAGCTTCTGCCGGGTCCAGCCCGCAGCGACGCTGATGAGGAGCTTGGTCGACAAGGCCTCACTGAGGCCGGGAGTTGACAGCACCTTCTCGACGACAGCAGGGTCTACGCCCAAAACTACCACGTCCGATTCCTGAACAGCCTTGATGTTGTCCCGCGTAATCCCCAAGCTTTGCGAGTGGTTGGGGAACTGCGCGGCCAAACGCTGCTCGGATTCTTGACTCCGAACACATGCGATAAACCGGTTGAATGGCGCGTTACTCTCTTTGTCTTTGGGGCCATCGATTAAGCTCTTCAGGATGGCACCTCCTAAGTTGCCTGGGAGATGTTTATTAACACTGCCATGGTCGCAAGGGGAAATATGCATGTTACTTACCGCAGCCAAGAATACAAAGCGTAGAGTTCGCCATCTTAATCGGGATTGGATAGTCGTGAATATTATTCCTGCACGGATTGTTATCTCTAACAACAGAGGGCTTTTTGAAGGGAATCCTCAGATACCGTGTGGACTGTGTGGGTGCAGCAGCCGGAATGTTGGTTGTCTGGTGGAGTTCAAGTCGGGCGGGCATCCGAACCGATAAGATAAACGTAATAAACCGACGGCTTTGGACCCCGAGCCACGGATGTTAATCAAAGGAATACCCCTCCATGATAACGCATATCGGTGGCTCCTCCCACTATGAATCAATTCTAGAGGTGAGGGGGTGAGTGAAGGGGGCTTTGTGGGACTAGGGTAGGATAAGCGACGAGATATGCCAGTTCAGTGAGATAGATAGATAGATAGATAGATTTAGGTCATGATAATCGTAAAATGTATTTCTAAATAGTAGCCTACGCCGAGAATGTAACAAGCGACTTCAGCCTTCTTCCGATCTCCACCTTCAATGCCTGATATTCATCCTGTGTCCTGGACACCGCATCACGGTTCTCAATCGCGCGCCGGAGGAGATATGCCAGACACTCCCCCATTCCACCCCACGTGGAGCATTTGTAGACTTGGGGAGACCCATCGGGTCCCTTCAATTGTAGTAGACTAAAGCTGACATCGTCCGACATGCCGTGCAGCTGTGCGAAGCCAACAGGTACAGTGGGCAATTTGGCTGCCAGACGCTGCTGGTGTAGATGATGAGCAGCCATTACGCTTTCCTTGTTGTGGCTCGCGAGGAAGAGGTTCACGGAGGGGAAAGGACGGCCGTTGCTGGCTCCAAACTCGCCCAGTTCCTGTCGTAGTGCCCCCTGGGCAATAGAGTTATATGCGTCATCGGTGTTCTGTTTTGTGTCGTGAATCAAAGACCGATCGTCGGAAGCCATATACGCGCCTCGTACCAGCTTGAGTCCAAGGGTGAATCCCTCCTGACTAGCAGCGGTGAGATGAGTGGCCAGGGTAGTTGGGGTGCTCTTGAGATAGGCCTGGTAGGTATTGTAAACGAGTGCGTATCCATCCCGGTTGTATTTGCGCATCAGCTCGATGGTCACGCGTGCAATTCCGCGTTGGAAATGTTGAGATTCAGCGTCAATCAGAATGCGAGCTCCTTTGTCTTTACACTTTTGGCAGATTTCCTCCAGTGCTTCGATCATCTGTACCGGGGGCAGTTCGCCTGCAGCGAAAGCTTCCGTCACGACTGGTCCGGCACCAGTCAACCTGGAGAGTCAGCAATACGTTGAGCAAGTGGTTGTGAAGTGGTACCTACTTCATGGCCAAATAATCATCTTCGCCGAGCAGGTCGACTGTCTTCACTGTGCCCTCGCGCCATGCCTCGATATGCTCACAATATCCCTTCCCAGAAATATCTTGCCCATTTCCTTGTCCCGTGGTGATACCAAGACCTTGTTGGCTCTTGGTTGAATGATCGAAAACAGTTTCCTTTGCGTATGTGAGGAGCGTACCCCGGAATCCCAGGTCTTTGAACATCTGGACGGTGGCCTGGGTCTCTCTGCCATTTTCACCGGCGCAGAATTGCTTGTAGAAGGTCCATTTGAGGATGGTGTGGAGAATGATATTGCGGTCTACGTTCAAAAGAAGGCCATTTCCGGACTTCGACAGGAGGGAGAGGATCGAAAGAGACGGTTTGAGGAGGTATGGTTTCGAGGTGATAGCCGCCACCAGCAGGGATCTGAGTAACATGCTAGTCGGCAGAGCGGACAGAGGAGGAAGGGTGACATTAGGAGCACTCTTGGTTTCAGCCAACACCGAAGTCGACACGGAGCGCACTCTTAGTCGGCATTTGCCAACATTATTGAGCGGTGTGCCGACTCCACATCGTGAGGTGAAGGTTCCTAGGGTTGCGAGTGGCGCTGCTTTGCCAGAATGTATAAGAACCATTGCTTGGGATGTTTGTGGTATATTGGGCCCAAGCAACAGAGAAAGTATCCAGCAATGATCATATACTGATGGTTGTGGTTCCTCTGATAGTCAAGTGCTACATCTATATATACATACACGGCGTCCTTGCTTATCATCCACTGACCCGGAGAACCATGGTCTCATGATACTCTATCGGCTGGCCTCCCGGGGTAGAGATCTGGACAAAGCTCGCGACCCCCGCGGGGTCATTGATAAAGAAGCCAAACCATGGTTCTGGCCCACAGATACGTGCAACATGACTGGGGCATTCAGCGGTCCGATGGGAAGCTCTCCCGTAGATGCGTCTCGCTATCGGTCACCCACGCCGACCTTGCTAGTAGACGGACTATGCATCTTTCATCGGACTGGCATCTCTAAAACCGACTGAACGTGCGGGATGCAAGATTCAATTCTATCAAGTAATCATTTTCTTGGTTATCTCCTTCTCTGTCTACCTCCCTGTGGGGTAGAAATGCAATAGAACACGGGATAACGTCCCGCGAACCCTCACCGGAATGCTGTTACAAGGATGTAGATCGATGTAACATCTATGTATGACATACATTAAGTCGCCTAGTCGTAGAGCGAACATGTGTACAAACTTCATGGATGATCAAGGCTCTTGAGTACTTAACCCTCAAATACTGTGAGATATCTAGCGATTGCACCCCCCCCCCCCGAATATGGCTCTGTTCACAATTTCGGCTTTCCATGGATGCAGCTTTCTCCAATGAACCCTACGAGTGTTCCAGGGTTTGTTTTTCGGGCCCGTTTACCATGGCGCGTTCTCCTCTGTCTCCCCTGGTATCCACAAACATCATCCCTTGATAGGCACTCTTCGGTGGGTCTCCATAAGCACGGGGTTTCACTACCATATTGGGACACCCGTTATATTGACTGTATGAAACCTTTATCGTCTAGGGTCTTCCGACCTCGACCATGTGACACCGGCATGGTTTCCCGCCCTGTTATGTACATATAATTGCTGTATTTCTATGATAACAGCAAATCGAGTTGCCTCTAATCAGGACCGATAGTAAGACCATCTTGCAGTGTATGTGTCAAAACGTTTTCTCAGCTATTGGGTGCAGAAAAGTTCCACGGTTTCTTGGCCACCATCATTTTCCTACCGCGTCTGGTAAAGAGATCCGGGCCTTCCGCCGCTGGGCCTCCGGGCGTCTATCCGACTGAGGTCGAAAGAAACGCAAATGCGGATTCAAACCCTAAGAGCTTAATGGTTCGCTAGTTCCCCATGCTAAATTCGGGACATATATGAGGATCACCGCCGTACCACGCAATGCTCCCCAGATGCCCAACGAAGTATAGATCCGGAGAACGGAAGGACCGGATGAGAGGTATTCAGCATTCAAGAAACGTCATTTGAGGTCTCACTCTTGCTGGCGATAACGAGCTCCACCACTGTGACGTCTCCCCCCGCAATCTTTGGGCGATTATGAATGAATTATCATGAAAAGGTGGACCACGGGTACCTTCCCGGGACCCAGCAAACCGCCGTATTATCTGAGACCGCGATCATCGGCTGCGTACCCGATGGTCGATCTTGCCCGCAAAGTGGGTATGGAATTTGCGGGGAAGTCTCGACATGACGATAAGGGATGCTGTTATGCTATGCAGAGCATTGAGGCTTCATCTTTCATAGGTGGCTGTGTCATATTAGCCTAACCGACGCTATCAGATACTGGCCCGCTCCGCTTGCTGAAATGAAGCGATGATAACGACGGATCTCTGCGCTAAGCGAAGCTAACGAGGATGATACACTGGTTTAAAAAGGCTGCAGTGTCCCACTTCGGGGTTGGGACTCTGAAGTCCATTTGGCGCTGGTTCGCACATATTCCCCATGATGTTGAAAACCAAAGAAGACCCTAATGAGCTGGCTCCAGTTCCTTCCCAGCCCGGGGAAGTCCGGGATGCGCCAACCTATGTGACCGACGATGTGTTTGGCGAAGTCACCGAGAATGGTCCCAACTATCGTAATGTACGCACCTTGCGAAAGGCCGCATGTCGGGCACGGACTGACTCTCGGACAGGTAGGGTGGATAGGAACAGTCGCGCTCATGATGAAGTCTCAGATTGGCCTTGGGGTCCTATCCATTCCAACCGCCTTCGACACGTTAGGGATTATCCCAGGTATCATCTGCCTCCTTGCGATTGCTGTGATCACGACCTGGTCGGATTACATGATCGGTGTTTTTAAACTTCGTCATCGCTCTGTCTACAGCATCGACGACGTTGGCGCGCTCCTTTTTGGTCGAATTGGCCGGGAATTTCTGGGGGGTGCCTTCTGCCTTTGTATAACTAGCCGCCCATGTATTAGGGGAAGCCCACTCGCTGATAGTGTACTAGATTGGATTTTTGTGTCTGGCTCCGGCATGCTCAGTCTCTCCATCGGTCTGAACGCGGTCTCCACGCATGGGGTATGTACTGCTGTCTTTGTGGCAGTGGCGGCGATCCTGGGGTTCATGTTCTCCAGCATTCGGACCCTCGGCCATATCACTTGGCTCGCGTGGGTTGGGCTTGTGTGCATCCTGACCGCGAGTAAGACTTCTCTTCCCCCTTCGCATCCTGTGGCTCTCTTGTCTGACGGCCTGACCAGTCCTCATGGTGACCATTGCTGTGGGTGTTGAGGAACGGCCCGCGTCGGCACCGAAAGATGGCGTTTGGGTGTCCGACTTTAAGATTGTCAATCATCCGAGCTTCAGCGAGGGGATCACGGCGGTCTCCTCCCTGGTCTTTGCGTACTCCGGCACGCCCGGGTTCTTCAATATCGTGTCCGAGATGCGTGACCCTCATTATTATACTCGCGCCCTGCTCATCTGTCAGGCGGGAGTGACCGCGGTTTACATTACGATCGGCTGCGTAGTCTACTATTACTGCGGGTCGTATGTGGCTTCCCCAGCCCTGGGCTCCGCTGGGCCGACCATGAAAAAGATCTCTTATGGCTTTGCCTTGCCGGGGTTGCTAGTCACGACCACCCTGGTCACCCACGTAATGCCCTTTGCATATAGATCTCTGTACGCTGCATGCACTAACGGCTCCGTAGATCCCGGCAAAATACATCTTCATCCGCATCTTACGAGGGTCGAAGCATCTGACGGCCAACAGTGCCATCCACTGGGGCACATGGCTTGGCTGCACCTTTGGAATCACCCTAATTGCCTATGTGATTGCGAGCGCGATCCCCGTCTTCAATAGCCTCGTCTCGCTTATCGGTGCATTACTAGGAACCCTCATGTCGTTCCAGCCCATGGGCTGTATGTGGCTGTATGACAACTGGAGCAAAGGTAAACAACACAAGTCCCTCCGGTGGATGTTGATGGTCTGCTGGAGTGTCTTTGTGGTCGTCATTGGGACATTCCTGATGGTTGCTGGTACGTATGGATGCATTGTGAGTGTGATTGATACCTACAACGCATCCGGTGGATCTGCCGCTTGGTCGTGTGCGGACAACTCGAACTCAACATGATCTCGGACGGAGATTGCGGTTGTCATTTTGAGGCATCCTCTACGAGTTCAAGATATATAGATATATACATGTGTTAGACAATTTCGTGTAATCTAGCGCGTAGGTTCACACCTCCACCATGTGAAGGAGGATACCTTTTGGCGTTTTGCATAAATGCAAAAGCTGTAGCAGAAAAAGACTGTGTTAAGATAGAAAAAAGGCACAAAATGTTAAAAAAAAAATTTAAAAAAAATTTCGAAAGTCTGTTTAGGCCAGATTACACACTAGTATAGAGATTGGAGTACCCACTGGCCAAAACCCGAATACGATATCATACTACCTGATAAGGCGTCCTCCGCTGATACGACGTGAAGTGGTGGTGCACATCAAACGCCTCCGTACCCAACACTCCAGGTGGATCTCATTTGCTCCCGGACGGACTAAAACACTTCCCCATAGTACATACACATTATCACATGCTCCAGAGTCCATGGAGGTGGAAGCATGTCAGAATTCCGTGGTGAAGGTGGTGGTGGGAGTTGTTCGATCGACAGATCTCCCCGTTTGCTCACACGATCAATTCCCCTATTCTGCTGAACGAGTTCACGTTATTGTTTGAGGATTGTCTCCAGGATTGGTCTTACGGTTGGGTGGAAACAGGACTGGCGAGTCATTTACTTTGTCATGCCCTAGGACGTCAAGAAAGCCACACCGGGCGCCTGTTCTCTCGGTAAAAAGCGGAGCCCACTTGCAGTCTCGCCCCTGTTGGAATGGTTGAGGGTTGCCAAGCCAGCTAAATCCGCTTGGAACGCCCCCAATGCCGAACCAATTCTGGTGGTTAAGACCGAGGCCTTGGCAGGCACACGTCGCCGGATGCGTCGGATTTCTTTGCTCCTTGGAATGTGCGAATCCAACGGTGAGGAGACACCCTCTGTCCCCCAGGGTAGCAGAGAATCCGAGGGGAGCACAGCGGCCTCATATCCTCGCACTCAGGAGGTGACTGCTGATCGTTATATATGTACACGCATACCCCTTCGCAGTAGACGCCATGAGGACAGTATCAGCCCTACGCCACGTAAAGCGCTGACTGGCTATTGGACGCCACCACCATTTCTGGATCCTAGCTTTTCGGAGGTTTTGAATCATGAAAGTTGGCTTCAGGCTCCAGGAGGACATCATGGTCATTGGCTGCACTCGGCGTTTCGATTGAAGGTCATGACGACGCTTGGGCTCCACCTTGGCGGGAACGGCAGATATTGACTGGGGAACCGGATGAATATCGTTGCCTATACCGGCGCAAGACTCTCTCTTTGGCCTACAGTATCCTTGGCTCGTTATGGCGAGGGATGTGAATTTTGCCGAGAAAGGAGGGCCAGAAAGGCCATCCGGATCGATGAAAGGCCAAGTTTTGGGACAACGGTCGCTCACTGACCACCAAAACAGGGCTATATTATTATTTTAGGAACAGAAAAAAAGTCAAAAAAGAACAGAAAGCTGGCATTATTGTGTGGCTGAAGGGGCGCCACCGTGATCCACTTGGCCAAATACCATCGGCGATTGGCCACATTACGGGTCACGAACAATTGTAGAGGGATCAGATTCCCCCATGGTCGCGTGCATACGGAGATCATAATTTAATAGGCAGAGAGCATATCTTACTCATCGGCGTTCAGCAATCGGTTGTTCCATTTCTTGGCTTTATGGGAGCCGATCCATATTTATTGACTGCACCCCCCCCTTTCCCCCCAGGCCCTGCCGGGCCCCTTCGTAGGGGAAATCACGAACTATTCAGACCATGGTGAGTAACATCTTCACTTGGTTCCTGTATGTCGTCAACCAGGTGTCGGACCTGTCCCTCCGCCCGATTCAACCTCAGTCGAGGTTGAGGCCGGGGAATCAACAGGTCTTGGCTCCACCCAGCACGACTGAGGCGCTCGATATTGGTCCGCCTATCACCCAAACACCGACGACTCAACCGAGTATCACACCGTCACCCACGAGTCCACCGCCAGCGGAGGCTACCGATGAATTCTGGGATGACATTATCACTGGGGTGTATGGAATCCCACCGCTGCTCAAGATCCATGACCGAACCGGGATGGTGAAATGGAGTTGGGGTCGGGACGACGTTACGCAGGAGCTTCCGCCGTATATCAGGCACTGTCTGTATAGCGATGCGAACGATGCCACCGAGGTCAAGTGGATCAAGAACGGAACCGCCATCGCGGCGATCTACAGCGACCTCGTGCTCATGATCAACCATACCCCTGACAACCCGGAAACAGACAAACTAATCACATTCGCTGTCTGCCGGCAGAATGAGTTTCTCTGGAATGCTCATACCCTCGAGCCGTTGCCGGGAGATCGAGTGGCAGTCGGCACCACGGGTTCCAACGCCTGGGACGGCATCCTCGTCTATAACTCTAGCGTTGATAACCCCCTGGTGGACGAGCCGCTGATCCTGCAGAATATCACCGGCCTGCGCGCCATACATGGGATGATTTGGGACGAGCAAGAGCAGATGCTGTGGGCCGCCGGTACGGACGCTGCAGCCGATGGATCTGATCCAATCCCAGCGTACGGAACCATCCAGGGTTATCCCTACAATGCAACCACCGGCGAGCTGGAAGACACCGAGGAATTCATGTACCGACTCCCGGAGGCATGGGACCAGGAGACGGAATGGGGTCCAGGATACCCATGGTGGTGTGGGCCACACGACCTCGTTCCTATTCCTAACGATCGAAAGTTTCTAATGTCGCAAGATCGAGGGTTACACGCCTTTGACCTGGATACGCGGGAATTCTTCCTCGATAGCAAAGGCGTGATTGATACGTACATGAGAGGGTTCGAGGTCACCACCAGTGATCGCAAAGGCTTTAACCGGGCAGGAGAGTACCTAGAGCTACCCGAATCAGACCTGAAGGGGTTCAGCATGGCGCCGGATGGAACCTTCGTCTATGTGCAGTCCCTGTGGCGATTGCTAAGGGGAAACCACACAAATATTGTCGTCGATGGGGTCAGGCAACAGATCAACCTTGGGGACGAGATTTACCGATCGCGTTGGTTTGCAGACATTCCCGGCTGGCCGAAACCAGCTGCATAAGAAACCAAGCGAGACTGCAATTCAACATTTCTTTTCTCGGCAACCCCGCATGCTATCATCCCAGTGGGCACAGCCATGGCACCGCTCTGTAGAGTTGGTTGCAACCCGTGGTGATAGATGACGACGAGCACGTTTGCGCCACATCACCTCCGGAGTGAATCTGCTGAACCATGCTATCATGCCGGCCATGATGCCCAGCAAATTTTCGCATATACGTTTAATCGAAACCTAGTCAAAAGAGCCGGAGGAGCCACAACTAGACGACGACCCACGAATATCACACGCGTCCGTTTGGGAAACGGATAATATCATTAGCTCAACGCCACCGCGTGGTCGCCTTACCCCATCCCTCGCCTCGGATCTTATGCTCATGGATTCGTTAGGGGCAGGAGGACATAGAGGGAGATCATGTTGATCTACCGGACTGGTTATACCATCCACGCTGATCGCGTGAAGTACATAATATTATTTTGCATATGAACACTATAATTAAGGACATAATCGCATAAATATATCCCGTTGCACTCCTCTCACAACTCTCTTAGTAGCTTGCTGTAATCTGCCTTGGCTACCTGACACTCCACCTTCCTAGTGCAGTGGTTTGAGCCATCAATGGTTACTTTACCACGGTGGATGCCACATCATCTAGCGACGGGCTTGTGCGTACATACTATCCTGTAGCTGTGGCTTGCATATCAACGGGAATTCGACAGACTATATACACTTTTTGCGGCTAGCACACGTCATTTACACACACGGGTTACAGTCATCCTGGAGCTGACCATGTCAATCCAGTCGTCCTTTCTCTGCATCTCGAAAGGTCGTCGCGACATGTGTACTACTTGCTGATGAGAATCGAAGGAACATATACTTAGAGTGGGGATCCATAGTGTTTTAAGGAATGTTACGGAACGTAAGAGGTAGAATTCAATCGCATGCAACGCTTTGTCCGGTACATATGATGTCTGCAACCCATGTACCTCTGATGAAAAGCAACCATGATAGACGAATGTACGAGCACTCCGTCGGTTAACTGACCCCCCATCAAGCCAGAAAGGACATCTCAGAAGCAATGAGCAAAACGCAAAGAGTCAGGAGAGCATCCGACATGAGGCGGAAGATTCGTTGACCCCAGCACTAATTTCCCAGCTTGGATAGGAGAAACTCGCTAGCATCACCCGTGTCAGAAAGATATGAGAAATGCGGCGGCGCCACAATCAGAGTCCCAAGGCAGACTAGATCTCCCACGGCGCAGTAGACCTTGACTTTATCTTTGGGGAAGTTTGCAATCTGGCCCCTCTCTTGCGCGTTGCGTGTGTACCCGAAAAGGACAACGCCTTTGATCTTGTCCTGCACATCTGCGGAAAGGCGTCTAATGGCCCCGTTCATGACGGCAGTTCCTTGGCTAGAGATACTATCAGTATGAATGGAACACGTGTCGGACAGCCTAGACACACCTGTAGCCACCGGCAACGATCTGCGTGTCAGGGCACTTGGTAGCAGCTTCTTCAAACAGTCCTTGTGCCTCTGCAATTGCCGCTTGAGAGGTTCCCTCTGGCAGAGCATTTGATGGGAGGTCCGCGGTGTATCTGGGTCCGACACCCTGGCAGGCGACATCATCTGATCTAGCTTCCTTCAACAGGTTGCAGACCGCAGGGCCCGTTGAAATGCCCTGGGTTGATCAGTATCACCACGCAAAACAGGATGAAGTCAAGCTCACCAGAAGGCCTGGCTCAGTGGAAGCCCGGGCGAAGATAAACGTAATGGGCTTGCAAGGGCCATCCCGCAACTCATTCCCACCAGACACTGCTCAAGATTGTCAGTCACCACACGCGCCACGGAGGGGTTCATTCCCGAACCTACATTGGCGTTCCTGGAGGTCCACCGGGCTTGCCACTGCAGTCGCAGCCAGTGCAATCACGATGTTGCGGAAATGCATAATGAGGAAAGTTCTTCTGAAAGCGGGTTGTGCGTGTGTGTCCGATACGAGTGCGATGCAGTCTGGATAGACGTCCTTCCTGGGACGACGAAGCCATCTTTATAGTATTTGCGTTGTAGAAGCATCCAGCACGTATGCCTCGGTATATTGTCCCGTCTGTTATGGATATAGTGCCTAGCCTTGTCTGGCAGACACCGTGCGCCGGAGTGTGCGGTTTGGATAGGCCAACTGCGACGACAAGTTGGAATGCCAGTGAGCCAGATGATTCTCACCCAGCTGCCGAGAATTGTATGGTCGACTTCTGACCTATGATATCCATTATCGGAAACAGAGTACCGAGGGAGGCGTGTTTAAGTTTCTTGGGTTGGGTCTCTTAATTAACTTGATCCGCATCGATAGGCGGAGATCCGGGGTTGCCGGTGGATCTATCAATCTAATTTAATCTAACCTCCCATGAAGAACTGTGCCACGATACTCAGAGCACGCTTGTCCCGACTTCAACTTCGGATGGTGGTCCGTACTTCAATGAGCATAGCGAGTTCCTAGGGTTTCCGACGTTGTATGAAGCGGGGTCTCGTATTTTGACCAGCATCGGCATGCGTCAGCAACGAAGAGGGTCTCTCCGCAGCCCATCCTGATGCCACATTCGTAAAAGAGAAATAGTCTGTTTAAATCACGTCACCGATCGCGGGAAAGTTCAAAATTCCATGTTTATTTCCGAACCTCCTATGCCGTAAAGAACAAGGGTGACGGGTCTTGGTCAAACGTGTTGTGCTGTGTACTCCTGCACTCCAGAATATCCGGCGTGAGTAAACAGCGGGGTAGCAGTCAATGGAGGATGCGCAGACAACTAGCGCATATTGGACCCTGGATATATTCGCTCATATATTGCGGGGCAACGGTACGAAGTCTAAGCCTGCCTTGTGTTCCAGGGTCTAGAAAGAAAGTTGATCAATCAGAGAAGTCGAGAAGACAGAGATCGACCCGGGTAGTACCCTAATAGCTCTCCATGTCGCATTGGTTTGCATTGAAACTGTCAGAAGACCATTCCATTGTAGGAAATTTCCTATTAGACAATAGTCTATCTTAGCTGAGATCCTTCAATAATTAATCCTTAGCCAAGTTCGGTCATGACCTAATCAGATCTAGGGCCCCATGTTGCATTATATATTTCTTTATATCACATGCCTAGGATCTGCCTGTGGCTTATAGATTATTTTGATGTCATAGATTTGTAGTCATGCGTGTTGTATAGGATATACTATATCATATCAATCAATATATTTATATGAATTGTTGATGTCAATGTGTATCGAATTATACTTAGGGAATCGATCTAGAGCCTGAGAGCCCTTAGCCGCTGAGTCCTGACCTAGGGCGGAAGTTGCGATAGAAATCTCGGAAAATCTTCAAGGGAGATTCCTCCATAAGTGGATACTGACTTGCTCAGGTGGCAGAAACGTCCCGACTGTCGTTTTTGTCGTATTTCTTGGGCCTTGTTCCTGATGAAGCTTATTGTTGTGCTGCCAATCACCCTCCGGTCCCTACCGATAGTGCAGCCTCAGGCTGCAAGGCAGTGTTGAACGCCTTAGGCTCTCAATACGGACCATCTTTGTTCCGGAGCCGTCTCCCCATCGATGGATGCTGAAGTCTCGACTTGATAGAATCCTCTCCGGTCTGCAACTTTACACAAATACGCAGTGCCCAGTTATAACTTCCAACAAACATAAAGTTTCGTAGCTCGAGTCAAATCAAATATGTCCGCTAGGCGTATCTTGGAGTTTACCGGCTTGGCACAATCGAGGGGTGAATTCGCTCCCGGAGAAGACCGGTCATTGATGACTCGAGTTACGACAAGATGCGTCCGGAAAGCTACGAGCATTCAGCCCACGCAGTAGTACGTCGCAGGCGAGACAGTACCGGCATAATTTGTTATTTACTTTTCGAAGACGAGGCTATATGATATTATGAAACTACAATGGCGCCGTAGGAGTCATAATGGACACAATATCCAGATAGAAATGAGAACCCCATCCCGTAGAAACCGTGCAATTGTATGGTTTATAGTGGAGGAAGACAAGTAAGAGCAGTTATGGGATAAGGATCTTACGCCAACCTATGTTCCGGCACTGGGTGTGGAAGCATGTATCATGAGGGAGAATTGCACATTCGAAGTTCAACACAGCATACGGCTTTTATATTGCCTATATACAACTTGGCTGAAGTGAGGCGATACAAAAGCAGAATCATACATGCATGTCATATTCCCAGCATTGGTCCATCCCGTTAACGTGCCCATCCCATCATAACCAGTACTCATGTCGAACAATTTTTGGCAACCGCGAGATCGTACCGGAAATCAGAGGCAGGGAAGAAGGCGAGCCGGGTTGTAGGACAAGTGCGCGGCAGCACATTGAGAGTGGTTCCTTAATGCTGTGGAGGTGTGTAAGTCTGACTGTATTGCAAGCATGAAAGGTCACAGGACATGGTTACTTACGCTGCAGGAAGAGCAGGAGCAGCTAGCGCAGTTACCGCTGCAGCAGTTGCAAGAGCAGGGAGACATTTTGATGGGATTAGAAAGCTTTGAAAGGTTTCTCGAAGGGGTTTTGTGACTTGGATTGAAGGCTTGGATGCTTGTGTGCGATGAGTGATTGTGATGATGGAAGAAACTGGACTGTCCCTGCTAGAAACGCTCCTATTTATACCTTTGAATGCCTTGATTTGGAGGCCACTGCAAAGTAAGATAAATGTAATTTACCCGCCAGAACCGCAGAAAAGGCATTGGTCATCGGGATAGCGCATCAGCCCACGGAAGCACTAGGCTTTCATGGCGGCGTGGGGGGAGAGGCAACTCTCCAAGCCTCACTCTCAAGAGATTCCATCATACAATAGCATGTTGTGGAGTTGGGCCAGGTAGACTGTGACAGGGATGGTATAGCCTGACATTGCCAGCCGACGTACGTGAGTTTCAAGGCACCATGGATGCCCCACTCCGCGTAGATAGTATACATGAGTAGTGCGCTTGCCAGTGTGAACGAGACCTGAAGACCAACATCGCTTATACTGGCATCCCACCGTGCATCCTAGACTGCTCAAAGCAAATACAGGAACCAAAACCGAAAGAAAGGTTCCAACTGAACTGGGTCAAATTCTCGAGATGGCGGTCTTATACGCAAATACAGATGAGGACCTTGGGAATTTGAGCACCTTGGTAGCACTCCCGTGGGTCGTAAGAACCCCTTATCTCCCATATTTCACTACCATGTGTGCGTCGTCTAATCCAATATTCCCCTTCCCTGCCAACTAGCCTATTACCTACAGAGGAACGCACTAAAGGGGGCAAAAACAAAAAATTCTGTTCGTGTGGGATTATATGCATTGCCCCGATTCGGAGAGATTAGCAGCACCCACAACAAAAGACTAATCACCCACCCAGGAAACGACTAAAATCGCGCATCTCACGATTCAGCTAATAAGAGGAATACGGTCCAATGAGATAGTTCATTGCCGGCTTCTATCTGCCCCCACCCACAGGTCAAAGCAACAGGATTTCTAAAATCTTCCACTCCAAAGGGAAAGAGTATGAGCTGCTTACGGTCTTGCCTGATCAGTACCTGGATTGTGATAGAAATGACAAATTTACCACTGGTGTGATGGTCTCTGTGACAAGACCCTGATCATTCTATCATCCACCAGCAGATTGGTATTGGTTCAAGCAAGCCATGGCTGACTGCGGCAGCGTCGGTAAGGTTCCTCAAGAAGACATCCGGTTCGCTACGAGCCGATTAATTTCATGTAGCCAAGCATAAAGGACGGTCTAGTCTCGTTATTATGCGTAGTTTGTTCTCAGGTCTCCTACGGACAAAGGCTTCCCGTCATCTGCGAAAGCAAGTTTTCTGCCAATTCAAGCTGAGTCCCACCTCGGAACGTAAGCCTGGACATGGCATTATGGTTGCCTGTAGCTCGTGCGAAGTACCGAACCTTTCACGCGCAGTGTGATCTAGTGAAACCCGGAGTATGCACATGCCTCCGTGCCAAGTATATGAAGTTACGGCGTCTCCGAGCAAGCAAAGAGTGATTGGCGATGGTCAGCGGAGCCCCCACGCCCTATGAATAAGGATACGCAAGGCTATTATATGTTTATGGAATAGAGAAGGCGATTCTGGTTAGTTGTGACAATGAACCTGGCATTTGACTCAACTGCCTTGTGGCAGCCTATGCATATGACCACCCCAATGGATACCTCCATAGTGAAGGTTTCCCTCGTGCATTTTACAACACTGAGGGGTGGCGAACCTCGTGTGAGGCGTGAGGATAAGGGACTCATGCCTTTAGATGCCTGCTCGGAATGGCTTGTCCATACCTTTCGCTACCGAGTTTCAATAAACGCTTGGCATTTAATTTCCTCTGTATGTTTCCGTTTTCCTGCCGGAGAATTTGCCTACAGGACCTCCTGAATAGTACGCTGATAACCCTGAGGTTCGTTGTATACTGCGTAACATGGAAGTGCCCCTTGCATCCTTTTTCTTCCCTTGCACTTCTTGGCTTATGTTACCAACAATCCTCGTGATTAAGACGTAACTATTCATTGAAGCCTGCTACCGAGCCTAATGTTTATAGCAGTGTCTTACGATCAATGTAGTTGGCAAGATGATAGATATTCATTAAGTCAATATAGCTATACATAGAATTGATTCCATAGGCCGGGCGCGAGGTGGCTCACCACGCCAAGGCAAGCGCAGGCAAAACGAGACAATTAGATCAAATAAGTGAGAGTGCAAAACACGATAACCTGGTGCAAAGTGCGGTAACGGCACAGCCACAGATCGGAGACATGAAGACTGGGCATCTGGATAACGCAGAACCGATTTCCTGCGCTACTCAGTGAAATATTCTCTAGGCCCACTTGCCAAGAAGTGCCATCACACCAACTCCCCAAAGCATCGAAATCACCATGAATGCCAGTCGTTTGTTGTCTTGGGTGCGATGGGGATCGAAGAGGAAATCGCGAGCCAGCAACTCGACCAATCCGGTGTAGATAAGAATACCAGCGGAGATTGCGTCCAGAACACCCGAGACGACATTCGCAGTGTATGAGCCTGAGTTATAGGTGGTTCTGACTCCGAGTCCGATTGCGATGGAAATGGGTGTTGTCAAACCATACAGCGTGCACAGAATCCAGGGCAACCAGCTGCCTTTGCGGAAGGGAATTGCTGACATACGGGCGCCAATACCCAAGCCCTCAAATGACTGGTGGAAGACCAGGACCGGGTATAGAGTGGAAAACTCTTCACCTGTAACACCGAGGTTCAAGCCGATAATGACCGAGTGGAAGATGACACCGAACTCCAGGATCAGGAAGGCGGCAATCTGCTGCTTGAACGACCTCTCCGACAACGAGTCATTGACAGATTGAGATTCCAGCTGTGCTTCTTTCTCAACAGGGGCTTGGTTAGCCACTGCAGTAGCATGCAAGCTGTTGTCCGTTGCACTGGTCATGATAGGCTCCGGGTCCTCTCGGCAGATTCCGTACTTGACCTCCACATATCGCTCTGCGCCAAAGTCGAGGAGGAAGATTCCGATGAGAGAAGTAAGGACGATTGCTGGGCACCAAGAATAGTCCCCCCAGTGGCCAGTCATGCCAACGCAGGACGCCGGTCCAATTTCATCATATGCAGGATCCAAGAGATGGATAAACGCTGTGGCCACAATGACACCGGCACCGAAGTATCGCGCGAAGAGGTAAACGTATAGTGGAATGTGAAGGCGGGGAGCACGCTTGGCTATGACTGGGAAGAAGGTAACAGCGGTTGAGACAATCAGGATCACAAAGATCGCGGATACACGCGCGCCTAAGCGGCCATCATAGTCGTTTTCCGAGGCATTGAGGTAGCAGATGATTTCTGCCGGGTCCGCGGTGTCGAGATCGACGCTGTTGGGATTGAACGACATCGTGAAAGGAATTGAGCTTGAGGAGAAAATTCCAACTTTCGTCCTCTAGTTCGACTCGCGCCGGGACACCGCATTTTATAGGGCAAATTAGGGGATCCTTGTGCGATACCTTGTGAGAAAATGACTCCCATGGCCGGACATCTGAACCACTGACAAGGACCATGGAAGCCGAAATTACCACTATTTAGTCACCACATGGTGGCAAGCGATCTATAAGCGAGAATGAAACGGTGGGAGTGTCTGAGCCGGCGCGCGCAACCGTTAAGATTATTTGATGACGGGCCGTACTGGGTACGCAACTAGAGGAAGCTAAAGTTCATACTACTACGTTGGTAACTGATCGATAGCATACTGGTCCCGAAATTGCATGGCATCTAAGTGGAGTTGCCTGATGATGCATGTCCATGCCATGGTCCACCCTGGGAGTAAAGTGGATCATTCGGGTAGTATCCGGACTGTCTGCTCGAATCGACGTCCAGGCGATATGAACATTTCCCCAGGGTCCCCAAAGTTGTTTCAGCTTCTCCACCCATCTTTCGACGTTGGGTCTCGATTCGCCGGCGCTCTGTCTTTGCTTCTACCAAGCAACTCTGGGCATAAAATAAGCAAAAAGGCCAAGTCAAGGAAATGGGATTGTGGCAGTGCCGTCGAAGACTTGAAGTAGGTCCGTAGTCAAGGCTCGCCATCCGCAACATACGGCGGTGGAGAGGGATACTGAGGGCGCCTGCTTCGACAATTCGGTTGAAAGGTATAGAGAGTAGAGAGCATAAAGATTCACACACGACCCTGGATTTCATTTCTCTCGTTTCCCGGACCGGTTCAGGCTAGTCGAAATACTCATGGACATATCATGAGGGACCTCTCGGCCGGGATTTGGTTAGCCAAGTTGCGACAACCGCGACTAACATTTTATTCTTGAAATACGAGCACGGAGCATACTCCGTAGTTGTATTAGTCCATGGCGTCGCAGCCGGCAATAGTCAGGTTTTATTTCGCATTCCCTGGTCGAGCAGCACCTCCTTCCCACACGGTACTGTTATTCACAGTGGAATCTAAGCAATTCGGAATCGGGTAGACACGGTTTGCATGTGACGAATGAGAGGGAAATCAACAAGGGCTAAAGGCAAACCAAAGAAGGGGAGGAAGTGCTTTGTTATTCTAGTGTGCTTGGCTGTTAGGGCTCGAGTTAGATGGATCTTAATGCGTTGCTGTCACATGACACGCAAACATTCGATGACGGCCTGACAGCCTGACCGGCCAGGCCGTCAACTGCAGTCGAGATTCTCATTCAATGCTTTCTTTCTTCTCTTGCGGTTTCGAATCATCCATGGGCGGACCAACAGATCCCCAACATCACGGCCTTATGGCCACTATCTTTCACCTTTTCCCGTTATTGCCGCCTGAAATTCGACACTACATCTGGCACCTCTCTCTCACCCAGGAGCGAGTGATCCATATTTCGTGCGACCGGGGTATCCTTCGCACGTCACGACGATATGCTCGCTGCTTTCGCGCCGACTGCGCCAATCCACCACAGCTACAAGTAAATACGGAGGCCCGCCATGTGGCCCTACGGGTGTATGCGCCTTACTTTCGGACTGAACATAAGCCTCATGGCTGCATTTATTTAGCCCCCGAGCAGGATGTCGTGCATCTGCACGAGGCAGTGTTAGCATACCTCAGCACGGCGGAGAGGGCGGCTCTCCAACGGCTGATGATTGATGTCCAGGACTATGCATCCTTTGGCTCGTATTGGATGGATAGTGTGTGTAGGATGAAGCAATTGCAGGAAATTGTGTTGGTGGTGTTGCCACTCACCTCTTCTCCATATGGATCTGATCAGTTGCCGATGGGGGACGGCGAGATTGTTGCTATGCTGAAGGCTGCCTTTGTGGAAGGTGCCCGGACGAGTCCAGACTGGACCATGCCACGCGTTAAAGTCGTATCGCATGAAGGAATAGCAATGGGAGATGTCGTCGTTACGGTGGATGATCTGAAGACCGATTGAGGGTATGGTCCTTCTGGGAGAGCCGAAAGCGACCATCCAGCTGCATCGTGACGAAACAATCAGACAGTGCCAGCTGTCAGATGGTGGGGAATCCCTGCCCGATGCGGAATACGAACGCACGGGGCGTTGGAATTCCCTCCGAGCGCCAGCGTCCGTCTGGAATGTGGGGATCGAATGCGGCACACTTATGAGACACCTCCTGCCTCTAGCGCCTGGCTCATCGATTGATCTTCACGTCTGGATTAATCGGCATCTCGGCTATACTTGATCGATAGCAATGAAAGTGATCATTGTCGGAGGTGGTATTGGCGGCCTCGCGACTGCGATTGGCTTGCGTCGTGCTGGTCATCAAGTCCAGGTACCAGGAGCGCAGTTCGTGCCGATCCTTTATAAGGCAGGCTAACAACCGGCCATGGGCCTGGCAGATATTTGAACGGTCGTCGTTTCTCCACGAAATTGGTGCAGCTATCAATATCTGCCCAAATGCCTCTCGGGTTCTCTCGCAGTGGGGATTCGATGTGGAACTAGCCCGCATGGTGACTGCACGCCAGTCTATTGTTGCACTCGGCAGCTCGCTCAAACCATTGACGGAAGTGGACTGCTCAAAGTGTGATGAGGTTTATGGTGCACCATGGCTCCTGGCCCATCGAGTCGACCTGCATTCGGAGTTACGACGTCTGGCTACAGCCCAGGAGGGACCTGGATCCCCCGCAGATATCGTCTTGAATGCAAAGGTCGTTGGATACGACGCTTCTAAGGGCTATATAACGCTGGCTGACGGGTCGGTGCATGGCGCGGATCTCATTGTCGCAGCGGACGGATTACACACGTCCGCGATCCATCATGTTAATGGCCGCGCAACACGACCGGTTTCTACCGGCTCAGCGGTATTTCGCTTCCTCCTCCCAACCGAGGATTTGCCAGACGATCCGAGTCTAGAGCCACACTTCGGTGATGGCCGTATGAGGGTGATGGCCGCAGAAGGCGTGAGGCGGCTGGTTTGGTATCCGTGTGCCAAGTATGACTGCCTTTGCTTGCCGTTTGGCATCATTTCATGTATTAACTGATGGTATTGCGCAGTAACACGGTGCAAAACTTTGTGGGAATACACCCAGATCAACATACTAACGGCCACGAAAAAGAATGTCAGTCTCTGTCATGTTTACATTTCCAAACCATTGGGGCTGACTGACAACCAATGCCGTAGCCTGGGATCGGTCCGCCGACGTCGATGATGTTTTGGCGCAATACCACGACTTCCATCCCAGCATATTAAACATCATCAGGTAATGCGTGGTGATCGCCTTCGTATTTCAAAAGCTAACCTGCACCAAGAAAAGCCACGAATATCAAGCGGTGGCCGCTTCTATACCGGGAACCCGTACCAACCTGGAGCTGTGACCGTCTAGTTCTCATTGGGGACGCAGCACATCCTATGCTACCTCGTATGTTCTTCTCAGCCAGGCTTGCAGTACAAGATCATTTCTAATGCCCGTATTGTAGACCAAGGCCAAGGAGGGGCCCAGGCTATCGAGGATGCAGGTGCATTGAGTGAGATCTTCACTCGGTTGCCGGCCAACCCCACAGCAGAGGAGATCCGCGACCGTCTAGCAATATTTGAAAGGGTTCGGATCAAGCGCGCGTCGGTGATACAGGTCTGCTCAAATGTTGGACAGGACCAAGCATGGAAAATCAGGGAACACGCACAGCAGTACATGCCCGCAGGCGTCAATGTGCCCACGTCGCCATTAGAGTTTATGGAGCATAACTTCCGTTACGACGTGCTCAAGGATAGTCGGCAGCATCTCGAGGCCTTCTTGGGGAAGAGTTAGATCAGGGAGCTTCCCTTTCCGATTGGATAGATTTGACCACAGTCGACCCTATTCTGCGTTGGCGCATGGTATCTACTACAGTTTGCTATGGCATCGGTCCTTACGACAGTATACAGTTTGAATTAAGCAAGAACAACCAATTCCGATGAATACAGACTTACGTAGGCTGGTAGAAGTGAACATCAATGGCCACCACGGGGCGGGCATCTATATACCACTATATGTTAGACTTAACGAGACTACTCCAAATCCCCATGGCCCCAAACGTTTGAGGCTGTCAATCCTCCATCGACCAACAAATCGCTTCCCATGACAAAAGTCGCATCCTTGGAACATAAAAACGCAACCGCATTCGCAATGTCGGCCGTCGTCCCCAACCTCCCAGCAGCAGTCCGATCAATAGCCTTCCGAATTGGAGACGCCCCAGGCCCCTCCAGCTCCTCTCTCATCATGGTGGATTGCACCACCCCAGGACTAACCGAGTTGGTCCTAGCACCTTTGCTCGCCCATGAGGGTGCAGACGCCTGCACGCGCAGGATATTCCCTCGCTTCGAGATCCCGTATGCACTTATGCGGGAACGCTGGTCTTCGCTCTCGGTCACCGGGCCAAAGAAGTCTGTAGGGAAGTCGGGATGCTGCAACAAGGTTTGCAATGGGGCAGTCGCCAGGTGCTGTTCGAGGTCCGGCGAGAGTAAGCCTTGCAAGCCGTGTCCGGCTGCGCTGGAGATTGCGACTAGAGAAGTACCGGCCGTCGCGAAAGGATAGAACGCCTCGATCACATTTGCGGTGCCCAGTAGGTTCACTTGGTAAATTCGGCTGGGAGGCGCTTGATTCATGGCCACGCCGGCCGTGTGGGCGACCACCCTTATCGAGCCAAGCCTAGCGGCGTGCGATGCGAGTCTGTTGACCGCGCTGAGGTCAGCCACGTCTGCCTGCACACCTTGCGCGCTGTGGCCTTCTTCGCGGAGTGCTTGCACGGCCCTCTCGAGCGTAACGTGCGAGTAGTCGGCCAGGAGGATGCAGGCACCGCTGCCCACGCGGCGCGCGATGGCGAGGCCCATGCCTCCACAGCCGGTAACGACCACCACGTCCTTTTCCGGGGCCATGTTCGGTGAAAGCAGGGTGTAGAAAGTAGGAGGCAGCTAGTCTGTTGGGTGAGGGCAGTCAAAAAATGGGCACAGGACTGGGCGACGTCCACCTTTTCACGCTGTGATTCATAAACCCTACGTATAAGCGGGGTACAAAAGTGCTATAAGATCACATTGGTCGAGAGGTAGAGCATGTTGATGGTGTGAACAAGGGTAGTAGGCCCACTGGCCCCTGTAAGACGTCCTTATATATCACTTGACATTAACGGTAGTCAGCGTCACATCGTACGAACAGGGATGCAGACACTTACCTCCCAGCAGCTGCGAAGATGGATTCCTTCGCACAACCACAATCCCACGTATCCTTCTACTAATCCACGCCGTGGTGCAAAGGGGAAACGTTCAAGTTCAATGCGATATGGGTATTTGTTAGGCTTTTGTCTCCGTATCTTATAGTGAAACGGTTCTATCGAACTAGTACATGGCGGATCGCCGTTCTAAATTACATATGATACATGATTCATTTCCATCTCCACTCCGAGTTTCGATGGATGAAGTAGTCCTTGCTCTGAATCGCCTTGCGAATCCCCCAAAGCCCGCCTAGGGGCCAGATGTCGCGCAGTTTGCGACTCCACGACTCGCTGCGCTCCCTCCGATCCGCCTCGACATCGATGCGCACTTTATCATACACGCTGGGCAGGGTCTCCGCGGTGTACTTCCGTCGCAAGCCATCATACCAGTCGCGATCGTACATCTTCCAAAACTCCTCCTGGCTATAGTATGTGTGGGCATAGAACCACTTCATGCCGCCCAGTTCCCGTAGTCGCCGTTCTAGGTCTCGATTCGCGGCAACAAACGTGTCCGGATCCTTGGGGCCGAACCCCCACACGCCAATGTTCAGCATCTGACCGGGCGTGAAGCCCTCACTCTTCACCGTGGTCTCATGCGGGTGGAAGGTCGGCGCTGGGCTTTGCTTCAGCGGACACAGCCACAACGGCCAAATGCCCAACTTCTCGCTGGTATAATTGATAAAGGATTCGGCCGTGGCGTATGGCAGCGCCAGATCCTGGATCATGTACCGACTCGACTCTCCGCTGGCATGCAGCGCCTTGTACAGCATCCGGGTGTGTAAGAAGTCATCCAGCCACCAGCGCGTGAGTCGGTTGAAGGGGAAATGGAAGTACTGGAATGCCGACCGTCCGACCCAGAAGCCGGCACGGTCATAACGGAAGAGATACTCGGCCAGCGGGATATAATCCGAGACGGGGCCCTGCGCCGCTCGCGTCTTCTCCTGCACATGGAGATAGTACCACGGATCCCAGGCATGGCTGAACGTCTGCACCTGCGCTGCGGAGGGCAACTCGTCCGTCATCTCGCCCGCGACCACCACCCCGTGTTCCTGCCCGTAGACGATCCCATCGACATAGTGATTCCGGTCGTTCAACGTCTGTTCGTGCACCGAGTGGACCGAGTCCTTCACACTCCGCTGGGGATGATACGTCGCCTTGACGAACTTCTTCGCCTCGATCAACTGCAGCTCGATCAGGGTGGTGACGCCTAAACTGCCCACCGCACCGGCAGCGCCGTGGAAGAGATCGGCGTTCTCACTCTCCGACGCCTTGACCACGCTGCCATCCGCCAGGACCATCTCGACCGAATGGATCGTCTTGTCAAAAAACCCGTATTTGAAGCTGGAACTTTCCCCGGCCGTGCCCGCGAAGCCGCCGCCTGCGGTGATGCCCGGGAACTCCATGACGACCGGCGGCACCAGTCCATATTTCATGGTGGCCTCGACCAGTCGGTCCATGGGGACATTGGGCTCGACGAGGGCCCGTCTCGTGGTGGGATCGACGTGTAACACATTGCGGAGGTCGCCAATGTCGACTTCGCGGTCTCGGCGGATCGGTCGCGTGCTGTTGGTCGAGCCATGGTTGATTCGGAAGGGTTCCTTGCGCTCGTAGAAACCCCGAATGCTGTTCGCAATGCGGGAGACCGCCGTCTTATGGCGTGCCAGCCCCATGCCGGGCAGAATTGTGCTGGTGGTGGTGGGTAGTGGTTGCGCCAGACGTGGTTGGAGACGGTCGCGTTTTCTGGCCCGTCGCTTTACGGGCCGGGGAAAGCCGGGGAGTTGTTTGAATACGGTCGGGCCCACCCGGAAGGGAAGACAGCGAGGCATCACAGCCAAGTCTATACATCCATCCATACGTACATATGTACATACATACACCTCTCTACATCCTTGCGTTATGTCTGGTGTTCCCACGTTGTGTTCTCCTCATAGTGAGTTTCCGCAGAGTACAGACTACTTCATTTTCTGCGAGATGGCCTTCCAGCATAAAAATATAGTACTCATTAGGGTTATATCGCTCAGGTCCAACAGATGCTTGATGATCTTATAAAACGCTCAAGTATTCTATCTAGTAATAGCTCAGTGGCTTTGCAAAAAGGTCAGTCTTCGGAGCCCTGAATACATGTATTGTATAGCGTGACATTGTCATTGGATGAAATATAACATTATATTCTCGATAATTAAAAGGGCCCATTTCAGACATGATGAAATCTCAAGACCCATTCCGTAGCAACCTGATGGCACCCAAAGAGCTTACCTCCTAAACATCGACCGGCTCTGGCTGCCGTCGTTTGAACCGGAACATTTGAATCATTTCGGCCCAGAACCCTGGCGCAGGACTGGTGAAGGTAGCCTCGTAGGAGTCCACGATCGGTCGGTCCCAAACCAAATCGACTTCCTGCGGCTTGAGGATCTTCGTCCGGTGAGCGAACTTCCATCCGAAATACAAAATGGGCGCAAGGATCTGCATGGTGTAATTCTGGAAGAAGGTCTCCACACTCCACGGCGCGAATGCGGTATACCCGTAGAAGAGCAAGACCAGGACCATGCACACCGCACCGAGGTAGGAGCAGTAGGGCTGGAAGTAGCCGTAGTACGGAAAGTTCTTTCGGTCGATGCCTTGCGCTTTGCAGGCCCGGTGGAATTGGATGTACGTGATACAGATGACCAGATAGTCAATGAGGGCACCGGCCGTAACCAAGTTGACTAACCACGTCAAGACTTGGGACGAATTGTCGGAGAGCTGTAGGAAAGACAGGAACGGAAAACACATAACGACAAGAAAGGCGTAGAGGGGGACGCCGTTCTTCGTCTTGCTCAAGATTTTCGGTGCTCGACCGTCGAGGGCCAGGCCGTAGAGGGACCGAGTGGCGCAGTAGGTGAGGGTGTTGCCCGCCGAGAAGACGGACGTGATGAGTAGGGCATTGACGATGTCCGGCAGGATGTGGACCTGCATATTCGACATTGCGATGACATAGGGAGACGCACCACCTCCTTTCTCATTACTCTCTCCGGCAAGGATGGCCTGCAGCGTCGGGTCGTTCCACGGAATGACGATGCCGACACAGAGGGCACCCATGGCAAAGAATAAGATAAACCGCCAGTAAATGGTCTTAAAGGCAGCCTTGACAAAGATCCGGGGGCGTTTGGACTCGGCAGCGGCCATCGCGATATATTCGGGCCCAACAATGCAGAACGCAGCAGACCAGACAGCGGCCAGGAAACCCTCAAATCGACCGAGGTTACCAGCCGTGCGATAGGCGGCAAACGGGCCGGGATCGTTCCAATAGCGAAACCCGTATACATCGTGAGCTGGGTTGCCGCCAACCATGGTAATGAAGGTAAAGAAAAAGAGCAGGAAGATCAGGATGACCTTCCCGGAGGAGAGCCAGAACTCAGCCTCCCCGTACGCCGCGACGGCGAGAGCATTGATGGCACTATTGAATGTTCAGCTTGGGTTCTCAGTGGGACCAACCACCGTCTAATCTTCACAACTGGGATTCATATTGGCAGAGTACGTTACAACATCGCTTTGGGGAAGTATGGAAAGGCCGGGCTGGAAAGGGATCGTTGCTCTGGGGTCATACGCAAAAAGGACTATACACGCCACACACACTGCGGCGACCGGAATGTCGTCTCTCCAGTAGCCAAGGATCAGGTTGATGGCGGTGATCTCGAAGGGGATCATGAGAGCTTCGTAGAGAAAGAAATTCCAGCCGACCATGAAGCCGAGAGCGTCGTCGACCCACTTGCCCGCGATACGGATGAAGCCACCGGACACCGGATGGAGGACAATCATTTCCGAGAGACAATTGTTGATACAAGCAAGCACCCCACAGTACAGGACGTACGCAATCAGCAGACTGGCCGGGCCACCTGCGGCGAGGCCATTGCCGATGGTGACGAACAGCGCCGTCCCAATGGAGCCTCCAATGGCGATCAGTTGAACATGTCGGTTTTCGAGTCGACGTTGCAGGCCCTCCGCACTATCGATTTGGCCGTCTTGGACATTCGCCTCGACTAGCTGCGGATCCTCCTTCATCTTCAGGTCAGGTTCCATACTGTACACAAGTTGTCGCACTGGGCAAGGGTAGATCAGATAGAAGACGGCTTAGTATTGCAGCGATAGGCTGCATATCAAAGATTTGAATCTGTTTTCTAGGAGGGCAGTTCATCAAAACCCGGGGATTAAATACTCTTGGTCTCCCCTATGGTTCTCTTATCACTCCATGGTTCTTAATCTCGGGATGCCTCCCGGGACGTCATGACCGCTGATCTATCTTGCTCTACCGCAGCGGCTTCAATCAATTAATTGCCTCTGCATCAGATTGCGCCAGATTGAAATCCCTTGGCAAATGCTCCCCCGCAACTCTAATGGCCAACGCTTCCCCGCTTGAGACGTTGAACAACCAGACCCGGTGTCAAGGTTAGGGCTACGGTGTGGAGACATACGCCGTCAACCCCGCGTTTCAATCACTGCGCCACCATGATTGAACCGGTTCTTATCTTCTTCGACGCTTTCCAACCCGCTCTTTTTTAGCCTTCGCACTCATTTACCCCAAAGAGGAAGCAGAAATGAGAGCACATTCACACGGTCCAGTTTTGTACCGGGGAATGCCTTCCCCGGTGTGTAGAGAAGGGTTTGGTACGAGAACGTCCAACAACCCAGCCATGATTCATACATCGAGCCCATTACAATTCTCAGTATCGCCAGTGGGATCCCACACTGCGATGATTGTGGAGATAGTCTCTGGACGTCAAAAGGTCTTTTCCACCATGTGCCTCTATCGGAATTAGATCCTCATTCCTCTCTGTCGCTGATCCGTCCACCACGAGACTATGTCTACAGACGAAGCCGAAGATACCATGATCCGCACCGGGGCTTGCATTTGCAAAGGAGTAGGGTTCACCGTCGCAGGTCCTCCCGAGGATGTGTTCTGCTGCTATTGCAGCGACTGCGCGATTGGAGCTGGGGGACCTTGTCAGATTGTGAGTCTCCGGTATGGCTGTTGTCTCTTTTGATCGACCGCAACCTCCTGCCTCATGTTGCGTACCCTAAGCTTACGGCTCCAGACGGCCAGCTACGCTTCATCCAGCGTCACCATTCGCGATCCGGACGGTCTCCTGACCTGCTACACGATCACGAAGGGTACTGTCAGCGGTCGTGCGAAGGAAAAGCATTTCTGCAAGCGGTGTGGATGCACAGTTTTCACAGTTCCCTTCAGCCTTGGACGGGAGTACATCGTCATACGACCAGTGCTGATCGAAAATGGGTAAGAAGGGATGGCTCCTCTGGGCACGATGCATTATTGACCTTCGCACAGCCTTGAACTCTACAAACCCGGGCTTGAGTGTTTCGTACAGCGACGTCCTAGCTACTTTTCCGGGTGCCAATCCGCGAAGGAGTACGACATAATGCCGACCGATGCTAAGAGCTCGGGTACGCAGGACTAATGTATGGCGGATCATTCTTTCCTCCCTACGATTAGATACCAAGCTGATATCCTATAGCTCACAAGAGTATGCGCACGGAATCGACCTGAGAGTTTGAACGAGGCGAATTCTCAACGAATGCGACGCCTAGTGCCGCATGATATTTCAAAAGAGTAAGACGTACAGCGGTACAGATAAAAGTCCAATGTTCACAGAGAGTACCCAAAGTCCTGAGACAGTAACCCACCAACAGCATGTTGCTGCGCACATCACACGGTCGATTTTACATCCTCGACCTGCTCCACCTGTTCGATAACCTTCCCGTCAGAATACATCGCCTCTCCACAATATGGTACCTCGTTCCATGTATCGCTAGTGCATGGGATGGGGAAAGCCTTTGCCAAGGCCCAGTATACCGCGGCAGCCACCAAGAAGCCTGACAGATAATTGATGTTGTAGATGTATTCCGCTGCCACCGGCACGTCTGCACCGACGGCGCCAGCAAAGCCAACAACATTGATTAGTATGCCGCATATGTAAGCCGTATAGCCTCTCCAGGAAATACCCCAGGTGCCATAATACGGGCCGTTCTTTTCTGCGCTATATAAAGCTTGGATTTCAAGGTAGCCTCGACGGACCAAGTAGTAGTCGCTGACCATGACCCCGGCGATCGAAGATAGAAATACCGAATAGGATGACAGGTAGACTGTGAATTTTGCGGAAGACGCTACCAGATTCCACTACGAGCTGTGTCAGTAATTGTAGTAATACCCGCAAGGGACTAATGGGATGTAAAATGATTCTATCGGTCATGGGAGACGAGGACGGTGCTTACCGGGCACATAGCAAGGCCAATAGCTGCACACACGTACGCCCCTCGGCGAATGGTGCAAAATCTAGGGAGCAAGGCCGAGAGATTTGTTCCAGCGGACACAGAGTTGGCTGCGATATTTGTTCCTAGCTGAGCTAACGCAAAGCCAGCGGCGATCACAAACACCCCGAACCGTTCCGCTGAACTGGCATCTTCCAAGAACATCCCGAGCAGAGTGAGAGGATTCCAGACCGCCTGGCCGAAGATCACCGATGAAGATGAAGTAACCACGATGCCGATAAACGACGTTACGGCAAAGCCCACTGGGATCGTGATCAGCTGTGGCCACACCGCATCTTTTGGCTGGCGTGCATATCGGCTAAAGTCAGGGTTATTGATTATCAAAGCGGCGAAATTGGCAATGCAGTTCATAATACTTTTGACCACAGCCCATGCCAATTCGCTTCCTTGCGCAGTATTGGGCTGATGAATGATAGGGCCCATTCCATGAGCACGAACAATCGCCCAGACGAAGAAAGCAATTGCGCAAGCAGGCGAAAAGTATGCTTTCGCCGTAAAGAGGTGTCGGATCTTATAGATAGGAAACCACAGGGCTGGGAGCGACCCCAGCCAGAACAAAAAGAAGCTGGTGAACTCCATGGTGGTGACGCCTGCACTGGCCGGGATGTTATTCGGGATATTAACATAGCTGGGCCAAATTGCCTGGATCATCAGAGTCACACATTGCCCTAACACAAAATTGGTTATCTTCTGGCAAAGGAAAGTGGTCACATAATATACCTCCGAGATAGGTCTGTTGGGCCGAGTTGGTTAGAGGCGTACTTTGGCAGTTTGCAAATAAGTACATACCTGAACACCGTACCAAATCACAGCCATTGCCGCGCGATTGATAATCGGCCAGAACGAACCCCATATGCCAAAGGATGCTCGGTTGGCCACTGCGAACGGAATGTAATAGATGGTTGCAATGCGGCCCATGGCAACGACGAAGATACCTGATATTGTATAACCGGCCCAGACGCAGAGCCAGGATTGCCACCAGGAGAGTCCATCCACAATCATTGACGAGGTAATCATCCATGTGTTCTAACACAGTCGTGATTTAGGAATAATGCACGTAACACCTCAATCGGGTTGGCTATGGGATAGCAACATACCACATTCAGCGAATCCGCAATCCAGAACGCTACGAAGTTCAGCCATCTCCATTGGCGACGCTCCGGCTCGACTGGACGTGATCATCTTGATGTATCAGTGCTCCATTGACGAATCATCTGCGCCCTCCATGAAAACATGTATCAGAATCTATCGATTCTGCTCACCTGGTTTGAGATCTTCATTCGTTAACATCAACTCCGCCGTCGTCAGACCAGGTTCTGTTGGCACCTGTAATATCTTGATGGACCGCTTTAGCAATGACATTGTTGGATTTCATAGGCCGTTTCCAAGCAGTGAGAAGGACAAGCAACAGTGGGTGATGAGAGCTGCTGATCACGATACCTGGGGATGTCTGGTCAATATATACCCCGCATTATAGGGAGACAAAGATCAGCATCTATACTTCTTGCTTTCACCCCGCAGACGGCCAACTCCGTAGTGGAAGCTAAATCAAACGCCCCAGAACCGAGGCTAGTAGAATCAATCAGGCACCACTCAAACAAAACCCAGACCGCCATTGAGGGGGGTTTTGCAGTTCCAGGAGAAGAAGGTCGATCCCCTTTTCAACCCCAGTGTCGATCTCCCTTGCCCAGTGGTTTTGTGATCAGCGTTGGGGTTTCATCTGAGGTGACCAATAGAAGCAATAGCATGATTCCAGAAGCGGTAGAACCCGCATATCAAGTTTATGTTGCAACTGCTTCTCCTCATCCTTAACAATGGCCGTATCAACAGGGTAGCATTGAATTGCTTCTAGATCCAATTCAGAATGATCCTGATTGATCCCCGCAGACGTCAAAGATTTGCTGTCATTGTGTGCTGGTTTAACATATCGCTGATCCTCAATATGCACCAGATCTGGCACTTCATTGTGTGTGGGGTCCACGGGGTGCAGGTATCTCGTTCGTGCGAACCTCAACTAGGGGAATCAGTAAGCATCAAAAGGGAGACCTAAGACCCCGTGGGACCTGCGAGAGACGTATACCATTACTGTACTAGCTGTTCAGCTCACGAAGCAGTACGACTAGTTCCGGATTTTAGTGACAAAGAGACGGATGGTAGCAAATGATAAGGGGATCCATTGTACCAAGAGCCCAAGACTGGTTCGAGCACATAGATCTCCTGGCATTTGACCTTGTAGCAATCGGAGTTTGCAGGGAACAGAAGATGAACCTATCCGGGACCCTTACATTAGGGTCGATTTTTCTCTGCTTCGCGCCGTTGCTTCACCAACTCAAAGCCGGCGTACTTGATAGGGTGCTTGCCCTCGCTATTCCCTTTCTCTAATGCCGACAGCAACCATGGACGCATCACATCTTGCAACCATGTTATTGTGCCAGTGTTCTTCGTAAATGTTACCACAACTGACAACGTATTTGGATCTTTATATCCCGATTTCCACTTTGGATGCGATGATGCCCCGGCGATTACTGAAAATGGCAATTCCGCCAGCTCTCCGAAGGTTGTTTGCACTGTTTGATTACGCTAGGGTAAAACGATGTCCATCAACAAATCTCTCGAAATATCGCAGCTAAGTTAGCATTGATCTGTCATAGAAAGACTGATATACCCAGTAATGTGATGTAGAGTACTAGAAAGATTTGCTAAGGTCGAAGGAACAATCGCCCATACGAACAATAATAATGTGTCACCATGTTTGCAGTACATGTGAACCCGAGCTATATATATCTTTGCACTGAGTCCCCCATTCTCCATGCACATGGTGGTTGATACGATACTCGCCCAGCATGAATATACCTGGAAGCAAAAGCAACATTTCGATGCTAGCATAGTACTATCAGTGCTATATCCACAGGGGGTGCTTGCTATCTACGCTGGTTCAAGACCTTTCGATGAATCTTAAGATTCCGGACATTGCCCGCCGTGGCAAACTCTCGGGGATATTACCAAATGATGTCAAAGTGCGCTAGGATCTTCGCGGTTAGATCAAGACGAGGACTACTGTCTAGTTCAAGGACGGAGGACTCCGTAATCTCAACCAGATTCCACTTGCCCAGTGGATTTCCAATTGTTCAATGCTTTCCTGCCACCAGCCCCAAGCTAAACCCAATCCAGGACCACTAAGTGGTGCAAACCCGTCAAACAGCTGCGGGAAAATTGGGACGGGGAAGTCTATTCAACATTCCATTCTTTTTTCTCTCTCGCATGGTGACAAAATTCCAGAAGCGAGGCCACGCTAAGGGTTAGTTCGAGTGGCCATACCAGCCTCGAACCACTACCTAGGCTCGTACCATTTGCTACCTCCATGTCACACGGACTTGAATGGCGAGATAGGAGAAATGAGACCCAAAAAAGAAGAATCACTAGCCCACTTGAGAGTAGCTCCTCCATGTTGTCCAGCACGGGGCAAGTCTAGCCCTAGATAAGGCAAAGAAGACTCTCGTAGCGCGCGAACTAAAGCTTCATGGAGACTACTAGACCCTGGCGGCACTGAAACCCTGCCAATCACCACCAGACTCTAGCAAGTTCTCAATGGGATACTACTACCATGTTACATGAAGCAATTTTAACATTGCTTGGCGAGGCCATGAGGCTCGAGTTGCCTTTGGCCACAGATTGTTTGCGTAGTATTAAATCCATGGGTGTTACCATCACTGCGTCCTAGAGGGGGACGGAGACTTTTGCGCAACCATTGCCGGCAGTCATCCAGGATGGCGCCCTCACACTCGTTTCTGTTGTTTTTGTCTGTCGTTTTTACTCACCTGCATTCATTCGTTCTTGCCGTCCCGTGGGTTGTCACGGATTACTACGAACAGGCTGTCGTCACTGAAGACTACTACTACACCAGCGAGGTCGTAACTACGATCCAGGAAATTTCTCCGACGGCCACTTCGCTGCCCGAGGCAGTATCAACCATCACCTCCATCGGCACCGGATACTATGGAGGAGATGCTACCGTCATCCAGAAGCTCTATCCCACCGGCGTAGGGAAGCCCGTCAATGATTACGATTATCCCTCCTACTACGACAATGAGTACCATTACACCATCTTCAAGGTCTACTTGACTTACTCCGCTCCAACGGGCTGCGCAACACAATGGACACAGACCACTGCCGTCCCAGTGACTCCGCCCCGTGCGGTGGAGGACTTGCTTCCTCGGACTGCCATGGAGACTTCAGTTTCAGTTGACTCCAGCCAACCCTTCCAGCCGACCACTTACACTTATGACGTGGTCTATGTCGACCCAACTCAGGTCCCTAGCAGTGCTCTGGAGTCACTCAGTTACTACAACCGACCCACCTCCCTGTACTCAGGTGCAAAGTGCTATTATACGAGTACAGACAGTTCCTACTACAGTGGCGGTTACTACGGCTACGACGATGACGACGGCGACTATAACTGGTTCCTCGATGACTACTATATGGGTATCTCTCCGCTGGCCCTCACCCTGATTCTCACCCTAGGCTGGATTGGCCTGTTTCTGATCCTTGGATTTATCGAGGCCTTCGTTCGGTTCCGCCGCCTGATGACTGGCTGGCAAACTAGGCGCGGTCTGCCTGTCTGCTGGTCTCTCACTGTCATCCCAATCAGCCTTCTCCTTCTTTGCTTCTTCCGTAAGGGCTATCGCGCCCGCTCGCAGGCTGACGCGGAGATTCTGAAGAAGAGATGGGATGCCATGGGCTTCTGGACGAAGCTGCGCCTGTTCTTCGTGTGGGGATTTCGGTTCAAATACCCACCGATGCTGGGCCCGGCGCCAGCCCGCGTGAAGACAAGCAAGCAGCCGGGCAAGAATCCCGGGCCCCGTCTCTTGACCCCGAGTCCATCGCAGAGCGTGGCGCCGGACTCGCGTCAGGGATCCACCGCTGCACGTAGTGCTGCGGATCTTGAAATGGCGGAAGTATCCCTGGAACCTTCGCAGCATCCATCCCAGGCCGCTGGCCTGCCATCGACCGCATCCGGGGCGCTTCCATCTCATCAAGATGACCAGATTGGTCGCGCACACTAAGCACCATGCTGGTGTTGTGACGGAATTGTTGGCTAGCTACCACGGGGTGGAACGCAAAGCGGACGTAGCACGACGACAACTCGAGGCCCTCGTAGCTACTTGTCATTCCTTTCTCTACGTCCTATAAATCTATAATGGATCCCCCTCTGACTATGTACCCCTTATTACTCGCTCTGCTCAGCTCCCCTTGTACCTTTCAGCGATAAACCTTTATTGGGCCTTACATAATGTCTTAATGTCTATGTTAAATTAATCTCAAGTAGCATACACAACACAGTCTATACCACATTCGACATACCACTAGCAACAGTGTATATACTTACCGGGGAATCAGCCAGGAAAGGTCTCAAATGATAGGAATATTCGTATCAGTAGCGCGGGGTCAAACTCTGGTATTGAGAATTGTTTCTGCAGTGAGGAAACAAAACACAGGAGCCATATACAAGCGTATATAGAGTGTATACAAAACCAGATTCCTCTGCCCTTTCAACAAGGACAACTAGTGGACACTAAGTGGATAATGCATGGTTGAGCCCCAAAGCCACTTCACCCTCAACAGGAAGGGAGCAAACAAATATTCGAATTAGATTGTGTTCGTTTCTCTCTCTCCTCGTAACACTGCGCTATGTAGACTCACCACTTGTCTTTGTTCTGTGCTGGTCTTAATCGATGCATTGGTGTATCACGTTAACTGTCATACCGGAGCCAGAGACAAGTACTCTCATTTAAACACGCTACACACCAATGAGCTACCCTTTATTCAGGAACCCCCAGACAGAAAGCTCGTGGTGGACTGGACGAACACATGTCACATAATCGATTTCAGAAGGATAACGCTGACATGACCTCCCACCCAAGATGCGAGGATCGTAGGCTAATCTTCCTCAAGGCATTGTACAGCCGTCCCGACATTACCGCTACGCGATCCGTCGTCGAGGAGACAAGTATCGAAAAGAGACGTATCTCCGTCGACGTTGTGAAGTAGGCTTAAATACCACGTATCGTTGAGAGACGTACTCCCTTGTTGACCTTTCAGCCGGCGTTGTTCCTTCTGCACGCTCTCTGCAGCAGACACGGTTGTTGCGTTCATGGAGGGCGTTATTGCCCACGGTAGCTTTGGCAGGCCCAGAACCAAGTACGTCGTGTCTCTGATTATCGGCGGAAGGAGTTCGTTTCGCGGAAGACGGCCAGTGGCGAGACTCGAGTCAATACACGTTGAAATCAACAGATATGCACGAGGATACTTCAGGAACGCTTCAGCCCAGCCCCTTATTCGCAGTCGTTTAAACGCAGGGCACAACAGTCTGTCACGTCCCTTGCCCTCTGCATCATTGTCTTCGAGGCACCGTTGGCGTTCGATCAGTGATGAACCAGCCTGCGCCACATTGTTTTCTAGAAGCAGGTTTTTTGTAATGGCGTATGCCAGGTGCAGGATCTGACTTGTGCCTTGCGAGAATAGTTCTGTGACGTCGTACACTCTTCGTGATTGATCAATGACCTCGGAGCATTTATCAAGAGAGCGCTTTCGTTCGACCATGTCCGAATACGATACAGACAGCTTCACATCTATCGCGGCGAGGACCATTGGAGTACCGCAATAAGCAAGCCTCGAAGAGTGGTCAGTAAAAGCAAAAAAACAACAACAAAAAGGCCACTGTGAGCGACATTCTAGCCTCAGTTTGGACCTTGAAATCGACAACTAGGGACTTAGGATTTATTGCCAAAGGCGACATAAAGCCTTTCAGAACTTACACACTCAATGGAATATGCTCCGTTAGGTTCCTTGAACTGAAATACCCAAGCTTCTGCGTGATCTGATGCACAGCATCTTTCAAGTCCTTTGCCAAAGGAAGCAGGATCGACGCCGAGCGGTCTTGAATTATATCACGATGGCTTTCTACGAGCAGCGTCTCATAATGGCCCAGAACCATGCGAGCGGTACTGCCAATCTGATGAGCGAGAGGATATTTGTATGCTGGCAGGGTCATAACTTACTAGTAGTGCATGGCAGTTAGATTGATGATAATTCCGACACTCTCCGGCTCAGCGATGCCAGTATGATGCAAGGGAGAGTAAACCGTATCTTCCCATCGAGTGAGCTCCGCCCGCACCTCCCTGATCTTTGTGAGATATAAATCAAGCTCGTGAATGGATAGACGCGGAGCATCTCCGTCCGAAGCTGAGAAGGAGATATTTATGACATCCGTTAAGATCACGGCGAGCCGGCATTGGGCCTGGAACACTTTGAACAGTAGTCGTTTGACATTTAGCTCATAAAATGGGGACATCATGATTTCGTTAGCCATCTCTTCCTCTTGTAGATCGTCAATATTCAGGTTGAAATTCGCGGACGTGAACTGAGGGCGACGGTGACGGCCAAGCCACAGGAAGCGATCGCGCACAAAAATAGACCACCACAGTCGTTTCTTGACACATATGTTGGGGTCCTGGACCGTAAGATGGAGCTCGAGGCCTGTAGCGATTGCGTTGTGAATTGCGCACATGTTCCAGGTCATCGTTGCCTCGGGGTCTTCGGCTGTGGTATGGAATGTCAGCAGCAGGGCGCCTTGGGCTCTTGCTAAGGGGTTACTCTCGGAGTTAGTATCATACAGCATCTACTTGACCGGGTACACATTAGCAGACCGATCATCCTTTTTTCCGCATGGACAAAGGCCCACAAAAGACATACCTTAGCGCGCTGATAAAATGCTCTTCTTGCTTCGCATGTCTCGTTGAAGCCACATTGCTGGATGATCTCGACGGGCACAAACTGCACCGTTCAGTCTATGGTTAGCCTGAGGTCGAATGACCCCATGAAGGTAGACGGATACATACCGCGCAGCTTGAAAGAAGCATGGCCTGAAATAGGAAGAGGGAAATTTTGGGCGCGTACTCGGTGTCTTCCAGTTGGAGATATGTGTTCCAAAACTCTACTTCATCCAGGATGGGGACGGAAGGATGCACGAGCAGGAAGTATTTCATGATGAAGACATCCAACGCAGCCTTGGGGGGTATGTCCAGACAGCCACTTGTCACGAGAATATGTACAACGCTCATCGGAAGGGGAGATAGGGCATTGAGGTCTAGGAATTGTTGCCCAGAAAAGCTAGGACCAACACTGTCCAGCCTCATTCGAGGAGAGATAACCGGCTGGGGATCTAGTATCTGACTTGAAGCATCAGACTCACTCTCAAATGTCGTTTCGGTATGATCGGGCGAGTCCAACAGTTCGGGGAACCCAGAGGCTGGTGGCAACATGAAGGGCTGCGGAGTGGGTTCGCCGGGCTTCTCACTGGCATTGAGGGTGTTCTGTTCGTCCCCATTTGGCTGCACTGATCTCTGACCAGTGCTTCGACGCTGGCTCTGTTTTAAATTCTTGAATCGTGTCGTAGCATTGGGACGCAGAGTACAGTCGGTTCTGCCGTCGAGCACGCAGTTTGTGCAAGGATAGCCGAGAATCGATGCATCGCAGCGCACCTTGCGTCTATGGCACCGGTAGCAGGCCGCAGCCGCCCGTCGGATGCGCCTTTCCACTGACCGAGGGCCTTTAGTGTGGTACATGGTGCCCCAGGAAGTTAGTAGACCCGATCGGCGTAAGAGAGTCTGAGTATGCAGTATCTCGATCTCCAGAGACCATGCCACAGACACGACCTGGACAAGCAAAAACTATGATAACGGTAGAAGTCCAAGGCCTTTGGTGCCTTCAAATGGCCGTCTAGCTTTTAGATATGAATACGGGCCATCCTGACAACTTGCTTCTCTCACTATGGAACCGCCATGGGTGACGCCCGCATGACACGCGACTCGCTTCCCCAGGATTTGCAATCTCGAAGAACTTCACACTGGTCAAACCCTGTTCATCATACACCTGATTCTGAGTGAATTACAGCCCAATGCAGCCTCACGGGCCGCGGTATGCAGTCTTCCCCCGCGGGGAAATCTTATTTCGTAAAGGATGGCCATGATCGACTTGCGGGGTTTCCCTCGGAACACTCTGCCCATCAGGCGAATCGGATTACAATCATTCGTCTAGTGTCGTGTGAAGGTTCATTGGCGTTGTGTGTTAGTACCCCTTTGATCTACCTTAGACTACCTCTTGACTGCATCTATTGGGAGATGGGTGATAAGAGCAGGTGAAGGGGGGATATCTGGTCTGTCCTTACCTCTGACCCCACTGAGCTGATCGCAGCAAGGGATAACCGCCTTTTGCTAATTTAATCCTGAGTATGGTGCCCGTTTTTAAGGAAGGATCCACGTCTCGTTCCTCACTTCCCCTCCCCACGACAAGAGTCTGGTACCATATCATGGCAAAAGTGAAATCGGACATTATGGATATACCACATGCCAAAGTGGAAGAAGGTCTTGATCTCGAAGCTGCCGATGCTCCTGGCAGGCTCGGTTGGAATGAGCAATCATATGCATGGCCACAACTCAGGAGTTATCTGGAACGCGTCCTGTGCTGGACACTTTCGTGGATTGTCTTCCTAGCTATCATCTACTTGTACAGTGGGTCATTCTATGCCAACCTGAATGAATTAGGCTAACTCCTGACAGTGGCTTCCTGAGAGCTCATGCTGGCTGCTGTTTTTCAAGGATGTTGTTCTTATATTGGATGTTTGGGTAAGCCTATCGTTATCGGGTGTTTACCATACCAGCCATATGTCTCGTTAGAAACTTTGAGCCGAGGTGCATGTATATATTGATGTCTTCCGTGAAGATCAACTCGACTCAGCGGGATAATTCGTATATTTACAATTATCTGAAGTGCCACCACGAAACTATTGAATGCAAGGTAACTTGCAGTCAATTCACGTCCCAGTCTGGCTGAATACGCAGAAATACATAAAATACCGAACAGTCCCTCTGATTCACGACCTACTCATGTAAGTAATACAGAGAGCGACTCGACACACAGACAGAGCTTAATGAGAGAGCCAATAAAGTTAATGAAGGGTTATAGTAACACACTACAGACCGAAGCAATAATCATCAAACGTAACAAAAGTAGTCATAATGCATTAGGCCATCCTGCTGAGCCGACGACGCATGTCTCTCATATAGTATTTCATGGGAATGGTCCGTATAAAGCGCGGGATGATCGGGTAGGCGATCTTGGCTCCTAGGATCACGGATTTATAGATCGAACGCCGCAGACGACCATCGCTCATACCATACTCCACACGCAGACGCGCGGGGAGCATCTGAGCTGTCATCAAGCGCACAAAGGGCAGACCCATACGTAGGGGGAGGAACAACTCCTTGTTGTACAGCAGGTCCTGGGCAATGTTGCGGGCGTGGTCGGTAACTTCTAGGTTGGCCACCGTCTTGTCCCAGTAGCGCCAGAAGGCCTTCCGGTCCTTGGGCCAGATCTCGAGCGGCACACGCAGCGACCGCGCCAGGACGGAGTATTCTCGATAGATCAGATCGGCCTTGCGAGGTTCCATGGCGCCGTAGACCTCTTCATACATGAAGATGCCGCTGGCATACAAGGTGGCTGCTACCCACATCTGGAGCTCCGGGTCATCCGCCGAATAATCTGGCCCTTTGACCTCAGCGTGGGCACGATTGACTAAGGAGATAATCGCGCGCTTTTCGTCCTTCGTGCCGAACGCCATGCAGTAGACGAAGGTCAACGTGGTCCGCAGACGGTGTAGTGGGCGGTACGCAAAGCTGCTGTGATTGTCGACGCCCTTGGCAACACCGGGCATGGCAACTTGCAGGAGGATGGCTGCAGCCCCAGTGGCGAGCAAAACCCCTTCTCGTACGATCTTCTGCACATTCTCTGTGCCCTGGAGTGAGTCAAGCAGACTGTCATCTGGCACCATGTTCAGAGTGGGCTTTTCCGAGATACTCGATTGCCATGGCTCCGGGGTGCCGTCTCGCTTGTACTCGCCCGAGTCAGACGTACTCGCTGATGGCTTTTCCGTTTGCTCCATTGTGAGACTCTTCGGGGATGTGTATAGGGCGTGCTAGGAGAACCTTTGCACATGGGATACCACTCCATCCTTCGAGCAACAGATCGCACCATGGCTTTCGTATATATAACTTGCTATCTTACATATTGGGCTACTCACTAGCTCCAGCAATTACCACTGCACAAATTTAATTCCACGGCCGCGGCTGGCAGTCCGAGGTGTAGATCCTCCGTAGAGTAGGACGGATAAATTAATCAAGCTTAATTAAATTAAATTGTCGCTGGAAGGATTTTCTTCCGCGGCCAACGGTCCGAGGCACATCTGCTGGGAATGCACAGCCTCCAAGATACATTGAACGAAAGAAAAATATGAGTATCAACAGGGCAAATGAGTAAGATGCAAAAGCCAAGTATGAAAACGAATGAAATGACGACATTACTAATTCAAGGTCGAGGATGCCAACCTAGGTAGCACCATCACGAGGCATGAATTCAGTCCCCACCTTTTTGGTTGCCAGAGTAAGCCAAGGTAGCGCATTCCTAGGAATTGTTATACTTGTTACTAGTGCGAATCGACAACCTCCCAAGGTGTGAAGGATGGGTAGAGCCTGACCTCTCCAGACCCCGTCTAAGCCAGACTAATCCAGTCGGACCAAGCTTGTCTCGACTGGGCGATGATCAGAGGGATCGTGGGTAGCCAGAATGCTTAAGATGCTGACGCTCTGGAGCGCTACTTGTCCCCAGATCCCCGCTTTGATTGATAAAGTGTTTATTCCCCGCACCGCTGACATAGTTGGTACATATGCCAGAAGCATTCGCTATTGTGTGCACTGCTAGCTTCCTGTTCTACAACTTAGAAGGGCGCCCGAGTGCGTTTCGCAATTGCTGATCCTCCATGGCTATCGGTGAGTCGGATAGGCCTTTTGACAGCTCCAGTGCCTGGAGAGAGTCTATCGATTCCGACTCTCCAGGCAAGGAGAAACAGCGTGAAGGCGAACCGTCAGGACCTCGTGGTGGTACTGGCGTCGGAGCCTCGTCCAGAGACCCCAGGTATAATAAGCGCAGGGGTTTTTGGCCTCGTATCCTGAAGCATTTCAAGCGGTACTGGCTGTGTTACGGCCTCCTGGGTTTCATATTCCTGGCAATCTTCTTGCCCGTGTTGTAAGACCGTTGCCTTCCTGTGGATTCGTTCGTTATTTCAGAGACGAAAGATTACTAAGTTCGGGGGTAGTTTCCTAGTAATCATACCAGCTATTGCGCAGAGGCTGGTCAATGATGCTAGCATACCAATTCACTCTGCAGCCATCATGCGACCAACCCCTGATGGCTTAACATTTTCGCTGTCGGCATCTCTGAATGTTCCTCTCGGGCTGAGTGTGCGGATAGATCCACTCAACTTGAGTCTATTCAATCGAGACGTGAAGCCGAGAAAGCCATACGTGTCGGCCCCGCTCGATGGACTTCGCCTGAAAGGCAAATCAGACATCAGCATTGTCAACCAGACGACTGAGATCCTGGACGAGGAACAGTTCACTACGTTTTTGGCCAATGCGGTTTATTCTAAGAGATTTATCTTATCGGCCTACGGCAAGACAACAGCCCACCTGGGAAAGATCAAAGTTCCCCTCACACTGGATAAAGATATAGAATTAGATGGTAAGTGTTGCTGTTGCACCCTCAATGAGCGATCCATTAGTATTGACCCTCAGTGTGGTAGGACTTGATATGTTGAACGGTTTCTCTATTGATGCTGCCAGACTGGCCCTTCCACCAGAGGACGACGGTTCCAACCTGCTCGGGCAAGCAACACTGCCAAATTACTCTGTCGTGACATTTGCTCTGGTAAGCTAGATCGACTGTCTACTGGAAGTCAGCAATTGACTTTTCGCACAGGGGAATGTCACCCTAGATCTTAAGGTCGATGACCTGATTCTAGGAAACGGGACTATCAGCAACGTGCTGCTGAAGCCTGGAAACAACTCAGTTCCCTTGCGTGGGGTGGTGGACATCCCAAATGCGATTAGAAATATCGGGCCCATCTTGGCCGCAGAGACAGAGGCCTTGAGCCGGGGAGATGTGATGATCTCGGCATCCGGGCATTCGACGGTCTACGAAGGGGAGCATATACCATACTTTGAAAAGGTATTGAATAACCTGACCATCAGCGCGAACGTTCCCATTCTCAAGGTGCTGTTTGGTTCCATCTCCGGATTGGTGTCGTCGAACCCCGACGTGATGCAGAATGTGACCAACGCGTTGCGGCAGACGGACCTGACGTCCAGCCCGAATATGTGACTAGTGATGATGAATGAATAATGAGATAGTCTTAATAACACGAGATGAACCTGCATTGCTTCCAATGGTAGTACAACGACAGGCGTCAATGAACCGTAAGGGCAATGCGAAGAAGCCCTAGCCCTAGTTAGTGTCCGAGCGGTCGCCGAGATCTGACGGACCGGAGAGCTCGTGGAAGTAAGCTAGCACCAATACCAAGCGCACATGGCTTAGAGAGCAGCGTTCTCGTCTGATTGCCCCGCAATCCCAAGGAATTCCTCAATATCGCCTCCCCAGTTCCCCGCATTTTAAATGAGGGCCACCCACTCGATAGACTTTCGGTCCGCGGCAGTGGGACCGGCAGCATGCGAGAGAGAACCCTAACATATGTAGAAAGCGAAGAAAAGGCTATCAGCCCCGCTCACACGCGCTGTCGTGATAGCTTGGCCGCGGTCAGCCAACGTGAGGGTCCAGCCGGACCATCACAGCGTATAGCATTATCATGGGACCCCGCACCAGAATACGCCTGCACTGCTTGTGGTCAACCTAGGTGAGGACAGGTCTTGTCCGGAAGGAATTTGCCAACAATCACCATGCGCAACGAGGCAAGGCCCGTTCATGCAGGGTAGCAACTAGCAGACTGCGGTGTGATGATGCACTTGGTCCTCGGTACCGCTGGCCATGATGAAATACTAATAAGACTCGCCAGCTCCTATTTGCATCCGGAGACCCCGCGGTGCGCATCCACATCAGTCAAAGTCTGCAACTCTACACAGGATGAGGGCTATTTCTCTACTGTCCCCGGTGCTGCTAGCTGCGCTTGCAGTCGCATCTTCCGAATCGGACAAAAATGCAACCGAGGGGCCGGCTGCGGTCAGTACAGCCAACGTCCTGGCTGCTAGTGCAGCACAGGAATCAGCAGCAACAGGCGACGGCAGCAACAGTGCGACACAAGAGCAGGGTGCAGTGAGCGCAGCCAACATCCTACCTGGTACTGCAGCGCAGGAACCGGCTGTAACTAGAGACGACAGCAACAGTGCACAATCCACAGTGGCAGAAAGTGAGCAAAGCACCGATGGATTTGACATTCCAGTTCCAACACTTTCTTCCTTGTCTGTGGGTGATATTCCTGTCCCGACCGTTTCACTTCCCGTCACGGTCAAGGTTCCCACACCCTCGACAGCCACCAAAGAGATTACAGTATCAAAAACCACAGTATCAGAAACCACAATATCAGAAAAGAGCGCAGAGTCGACGTCCACGCCGTCCGTGAGCAACGCGGGCCTTGACTCCATTGAAGACCTCATAGAAGGTGTGCTGGGTGGCAGCAGTTCTGGTGGATCTTCTATCTCTGGACTCTCGGAGATCCAAGATGGCATCAAGAATGTTCTGAGTCTGTTCACGCCATCCTTTATCACGGATGCCACTTCTCTAGTCAGCCAGGCTTCCGGGTTTTTTGACAATGACACGATGCAAGATACGAAGGCCATGATCAGCACCCTGGCTAGTATCAAACCAATGCTCTCGTCGGGAAGTGATAGCGGAGTTAACGGGCTCACATCAATGTTCGCAAACGGGACATTCTTCAACGACATCGACAATCTCTTGAAGAGCATCGCTGCCTTACCAGCCATATTTGCCGAGATCGTCGACGTGCTGACGAGCGACGAAGTCCGGGAATTCCTTCAGGAGTTCCCAGAAATCATCGATAAGGTCCTGCCAATCCTGAATCCAGAATTAATCAAGGCCCTAGAGTCACTGATCACGGACAACCTGACACCGGAGCTGGTGAATGACTTGTCATCAACTCTGTCTGCCCTGCGTCCGCTACTCCATGATATTCAACCTATCCTGTCGAACCAGACCATGGAGCCACTCCTGAATCTTGTCAAGACCATCATCTCACCGACGTTCATTAATGAGATCGAGGAGGTGTTGACGGCTTTGCCACCACTCATTAAGGACATCTTGCCTCTTCTTGGGTCTGATATCATCACCCCGCTAGTGAACCTTCTCAAAGAGATCCTCACTCCTGAGTTCATCAAGCAGATCTCGTCCTTGCTGAGCGACCTGCCTGAGCTATTCAACACTCTCGTGCCGTTAATCAAACCGGTGGAGGAACTTATTACGGAGATTGTGACACCGGAATTCATTAGCGAGATCGGGTCATTGATCAAAGCTCTGCCACCAATTGTCAAGGAACTTATACCTCTCCTTGAGCCTCTCGGGAATCTGATCAAGGAAGTCTTGACACCGGAGTTTGTGAACGACATCAAGTCATTAATCCAGGCAGTGCCAGGTCTTTTGGACACCATTCTGCCACTGGTGCCAAAGGTTGAGGACCTACTCAACAAGGTTCTAACGCCAGAGCTCTTGAATGCGCTCGAATCGGTTCTGGACGCCGCACCCGAGTTGTTAAACAGTCTACTACCGCTTGTGCCGGACTTGGTAAACCTGATTAAGAAGATTCTGACACCGGAGCTCCTGCAGACCCTTGAATCGGTTCTCGATGCGGTACCGGGGCTTTTGAATAGTTTGCTACCGCTTGTGCCCGAGTTAGTGAACTTGATCCAGAAGGTTCTGACACCGGAGCTCCTGCAGGCGCTTGAATCGGTTCTCGACGCCGTGCCAGGGCTCTTGAATAGCCTGTTACCGCTTGTGCCGGAGTTGGTGAACCTGGTCAATAAGGTTCTCACACCGGAGATCATACAGGCCCTTGAGTCGCTCCTCGACGCTGTACCAGGGCTCTTGAATACTCTGCTACCGCTCGTGCCGAAGCTTGAGGACTTACTGAAGAAGGTTCTCACACCGGAGCTTCTGAACGCGCTCGAATCAGTTCTTGATGCTGTGCCAGGGCTGCTAAATAGTATATTACCGCTTGTGCCGGACTTGGTCGACCTGCTTAACAAGGTTCTCACACCGGAGCTCCTGCAGGTCGTTGGGTCGGTTCTCGACGCAGTACCAGGATTGTTGAATACTCTATTGCCACTCATACCTACGCTGGAGGAGGTGCTGCAGCAGATCCTGACTCCGGAGTTATTGTCGGCCGTCCAATCGCTCATTGGTAAGGTCCCTGGCCTTATCAACACGCTACTGCCATTGATACCATCACTTGAGGACCTGATCGTCAATATTCTCACGCCGGACTTCATCAGCGGGATTCAGAAGGTCCTGGCCGCAGTTCCTGGATTACTCAACGCCCTTTTACTCTTGCTGCCACCCATTGAAGAGCTCATTCCGAAGATCCTGACCCCTGACTTCATTTCTTCCATTGAGTCAGTGCTCGCTGCGGTCCCGTCGATTATACAGGACGTGCTGCCATTGCTACAGGGCGATATCATCAAGTCATTGGTACAGATTGTAACCGACATCGTCACTCCTGAGTTCATCAGCGATATCAGCGGTATCGCCGGCCTCATCCCGCCGTTGGTGCACGACCTTGTTCCAATCTTCAACCAAGATCTCATCACGGCGGTTGTGAATCTGCTGGAGAGCGTCATAACCCCAACGTTCATCAACGATCTGACCTCTCTGATCAACGCAGTAATCCCAGTGGTCAAGGACATCATTCCGATCATTGGAAGCGATGTGGTGAAGAATCTGGTTGTAGGACTGCCAGATATCATCAACGGTATACTGCCGATCCTGAATGTGGACATTATTCTGGCACTCGAAAAGGCTCTAGCTGGGCTTGTCACTAAGCAATTCGTGACCGATGTCGGCACCGTCCTGGCAGCGGTACCACCACTGCTGCACAGCCTAGTCCCCATCTTTGGCACAGAGCTTCTTGGGCCTGTGGAGAATGTCATATCCACACTGCTGACGCGAGACTTCCTGGGAGAGGTTGGTGGACTGGTTGACACGGTGCCACCCCTTCTCAACGAGACCATGCCGTTGTTCCACCAAGACATTATCGTTCCAGGAGAAAATGTTCTCAAGGAACTCATCACCCCCGCGTTTATGAATGACATTGGGTCGGTGCTCAATGAAGCCCCCGCCATTGTCGAGAGCTTGATTTCCGTCGTTGGTAGTGACGCTGTGAGCTCACTGCTGGACGCCGTGCCGAAGGTTCTGAACAGCCTTTTGCCACTTCTGAATGGAGAGCTCATATCGAACATTGTGAACGATCTGACTAGCATTCTAACTACCGACTTCATGAATGATATTGGCACAATTCTCGCTTCAATACCGGGCCTTGTACACTCTATCCTACCCATATTCACGGGAGACACGCTCACGACACTGGTGCAAAGCCTCATTCCATTGATCAAAGCGGTTGTCGCTGTATGTATTCCCCTACGGGCTTTTACGAAGAATCGTTTGCTAACAAGCACCTTGTAGTTGCTACCGCTACTGACCAATATTTTGGCATCTGTATGAGCTGGGACTCGTTGAGGATCGCTTTCGGACTATGTTGATGCCGAGCTATCATCCTGAGCATATTCTGGGAAGGGGTAGATATGCACAAGTCAGACTATAGTGTAGAAATCAGGAAAAGAGGATTGTTGACCTGGACGACCTGTCTATTGACCACTGCTGAGTGACTCGCATCATATGAAAACTGTATCTAATTTTCTGATTAATAATATCATGATTTATGTGTGCTACGTCCACGACTCTGTCTCCAAATTATGTGGAGTTCGCTTCAAGGTCCAAAAACGTGGAAGTCATATACATAACATAACTTGACGTTCTGGCAGTAAAGACGTGCTCCATATGTCACTCCAGCCATTCATTGAGACAAACGTAGTATATATTTATATAAAGACGAGTATAATAACACACATCGATGGTATGCCATAAAGCTGAACTGTCGAATCATACAAAAAATACCCACCACTCAGGGCTTGACCAACTGCCCACCCCGCTTTTTGATCCGCCTCCTCATCTGGCCCATCATATAGGTCTTCGTAAACTGTCGTAGGAATAGTGGCATGAAGGGATAGACACCAGACATTCCACTAATGAAGAGGCCAGAAATGACCCGTGAAGACTTCGTTGACTTCAGGAGGAATTGATCACGTACACGGGGAGGCAACTGCTCGATAGTGAGCCGTTTCACAAATGGCATCGCTATAACAGCCAGTGGCCGGGCCCACAGTGGCAGACCTCTGGCCGGGTGAAAGATATCATGCAAGACCGCACGGGCATGCGGTGTCACACACAGTCGTTTATTCACCATATCATCCCAGTAGAGCTGAAACTCCGTGAGATTCTTTGGCCACATCCCAGGTGGCACTTGCAGGGACGTCCCCATGATTGAGAATGCGCGATAAACTCTTTCGGCCCTCGTAGAATTGAGGGGGCCGTAGATTAACTCGTACATGTTGACCATAGTGGCATAGATCGTGGCGGCCACCCAGACTTGAAGTTCAGGGTCCTTTGCGTCATATGACAATTTGTTGTGTTGTCCCACGACCCGAGAGTGAGCCTTATCGACGTATGCCTTCATGGCTGCCTTTTCCGAGGTAGAGCCAAATATCATGCAGTAAATGTACATCTGGGTATACTCCGCGCGACTGATAGCGCGGGTTCGGAAGGTACTGTGATCTGCGACGCCAGCCCCTACTAAAGGGTGTGCGATTTGGAGCAGGATTGCCGCAGGGCCTCCGACAAAAGTGATGCTTTCCCGAGCGACCATCTGCAGCTCCATCATTGCCAGATCAGAGATTTCGGGCATGGAATAACCCTTCTCCACACCGACGGGAAAGTCGTCATCCTCCTGGGTAATGTACACGGCGCTTTTTGCTTTCATGATTGGAAATGTCTTGGGTAGAAACTGGCAGTATGCTGGGAAGATACAATAAGCGGGTTGAACGAGGCAGATCTTTGAGCAGAGCTATACATGAGGCCATATCTCCAGTTTTATAAAAGATGTGTCACATAATCCTGGTCTATCCAGCTTGCTCCACCGTCTAAGGTTATCCTCATCACGGCCCAGCGACACCGGTCCGTGGAACCTGGATCAAGTATCCCCTCTTTGCCACCGTATAACTCCAGGTATACAGCGAGGTACCGGAATCTGGACGCTGATCCCATGATGCTAAAGGTGAGCATGACATTTCCATGCGAGGATCAAACAGGACTCACGAAATCACAGTTGGAAGCCACCCACCATTGCATGAAAACTGTCGACAACAAAATGATAATTGGCTCGATCAGACTTGATAGTATGCTGCGCTCTGAAGAAACGACCTGCGTGCCTCGGACCGCTCTGTGTGTTCGTCATCATCATGCAAATTCATGGGGGTGGCTGTGGTCTCAAGCCTGTCCATTGGGTCACGACAGCGAAAGATCAGGATGGGCTGGAGAAAGTATGGTGGAGGGCAAGAACAGTTATCGACATCATTAAGTTGAAACTTAACCCTGACTCCTCGGTGTTTTCCATCCTACTTCCAATGAGCCAAAAGCCCACGGTATGGATTTGGCTGGGCCTGCCTTTGAGATTCGCACACCCACGTATGATGTGATAATCCAACAAGCCCTAACTTGAAGCTTATCTTTAACTGTACATCTAGGTCCCCTACCGAGGATCATCACATCAAGCCATTAGACACTCGGTTAGCCTAGAGCTTGATGCCGGGATCACCCACAATCCATTCTTTCTGGTGGATACCCCCAACAGTTGCCGAGTCCGGACGGCGGAATGAGTGACAATCGACTTACTTAGTCAAGAGGGTTACATAGTTGATCAACCATTAATGAGAGTAAGCCATTTTCGCGGATCCAATTGAGCTCCGATCTATTATGGTTGGCCTTGTTTTGTGCAATGCAATCACTTCGCGAGGTCATGCCATAAGGATGAGCTGTCTGTCCAAGGCTACTCACTCTTTACAATTTGTGACCTGGCCGCTCGTATAGGTTACGGTTTACCTCTCAGATTGTCGCGCTAGCAGCGAAGGCACTCTGAATTCCCTTGTACATATGTGGGCGCTTGTGGTGCCCACTAAATCTAACTCTTCCAGGGTCGGGGTCGTTGCAGGCCACAACCTCACTTCCGTGGAAGAGGCAGCCTTAAGCCTATAGGGTTGGGAAGCCAACCCGCGGGTTCATTGTCCGGGCCGCGGGTGCACTAGGACCAGTCACCCGCGGGGCCGGATTGCCATCGCGTCGATCAGCTCTACATTTGGTGTCTTCGGTCCATGATGTAGTTATGTAGTCCAGATGACCTCTTGCTGTGGCTGTCCTTGAAGGCATGGATGCCAGATAAAGCTTGGTATTTGGACAGATTTCGATCCGCACTTTGACTTGCTATGTCTGGCATTTCTGTTTCGTGTTGACAGCAATCAAGCAGGATGCGACACTTACGGTACGTTCCTCTACTCGCTGCTACTATTTCTCTGGGGACAGAGAGCATTGCCTGGACAGGCCCACCAGCTACTATCCAACATTTACGGGGGCAGAGGTGGGTGTCTTAGCCGTTCGCAGTATAGACAATAGTTGCTGATTTACTGATTCCAAGGCCTATAATCAACGACCCGAGTGTCCTGCTAGACAGGATGGCCGCCCAGAATAGCTTAACATTTCATCCGCCACTGACTCAGGACCAAATACTCTCAATACTAGTGGCAAGGGCTCTTGTGCGGTTGATAAATTCCCCGTTACCCATGGTCCTGGCCAGTCACCCGCAGAATGAAAATATAACCACGGGGTACTCAAATATCCGCAACGATACCAGGCAAGATTCCTCCAATATTCAATTGCATTTGGGGCCGCCGGATATAGCGTATCCGACGCAGCTACTATCGGAAGGAAGCCATCGAATCACTAGCACTATCACGGCAGATGGTGTCAAGGCAACAGATAACGCCTATAGCTCTTTCTCAACGGACATGACGTCCGGAGGGATGGAAGCTATGCTGATCCGCCTTTTGGGAATTCTGAGGAATATAGGGTCGTTTGTGCTTTTGTAAGCATGTCTGGAGCTGATTGGATTAAGGCCAGAGACAAGACGCATTATGGCTAACGTGGACTACGTGACAGACTGGTGATTACTCTCGATTCTCGGCTTGGACGCAAATTGATGAATGCGTCAATAAACGGAATTTCGACATTATAAATTCTGATACAAGCATCGCTAACCTATAAATAATGAAGGGGCCGAGATAACCTCACGATCGCCGCTGTGCGTGTCATGGTCAACGACATCGCGTTTCATATTTCACTTTCTTATGAAGACCACGCGAATGCTATGGGGTTCCTAATGGGTACTGTCCTCCCAATCCACAGGTTCGGAAGGTTTCTTTATTGGACACAACCGAAAACACTCCCATGTTTTGTCTAATAAGGCAATCACATTTTCCACGCGTTTGAGACAGTGTGACTATCTCTAAAGTCAGTCTGCTGCTGCATGTCCATGTTCTCTGTCCCTACCAGAAAGGACATCGCTGATCCATTTAGAGGGCCTTGCCAGGGTACGGGATACACCATCTGATCCATTCCCGGCAGGCAAAATGCTGGGTCAATGGATGGCATTGGCTGGAGAAATTCGAATACTACGGCAGGGTCATCTCTGTTACCAGTGACATCTTGCCCCGTACGGGCCACTTGATATGGTGGGGACAAGGGCTGAGGCGCGTGCTGCCAGGCGTACATTTGTCGCCCTGGCTCGGAAGCGGTTCTCGGGCCCGGCTGTGCTCTAGGGCCTATGAAGTCTACTGCGTTATTTTTTCGGTGCCTGTCACACATCTTTTGCGCCTTCTGTTCAGTTTCGTCCAAAGATGCCTTAGTCACCCATGGAAGCTGAAATCCTAAGAATCCGGAGGCCACTGACCGCAGGACCTCCGGTAAAGCGTTCTCATGTGGTAGTCGGCCGGACGAAAGGGAGTAGTCTGTAGAGGCTGCGATGAGAAGGTATATACGGGGATAGCGGATAAACAAATCAAACCACCCCGAGGCATGCTTGTCCTCCTCGAGAGCCTTCCATGTCGTATTCGGAAATGCTGCTCCTCGTTGGTACGGTTTCTGAACCTCTGATGCCCGCGCAGGTTGACGTCTTCGAATGCCCAGCTCTTCTGCCATCTTAGTTACGAGGTGGAGGATCTCCTTTGTACCCACCGCAACAAACTTTGTTACATCATAGAGTTCGACGAGGGCGTGGTAAATGCTCCCCAGAACGTTTAGCTCTCGCTGCCGTTGCACGGCCTCGGCGTCGTTAGGTGCGAGGCCAGCATCAATCGCGGCCACGACTAGCGGCCATCCAACGAATGCCAGTCTGTGTACCGACCGGGGGGTCAGTGCTGTCTGTGGAAAATGATCGCGCAGTAAGGATACCTACATGCAAAGCGGAATTGCTTCAATGTCCCTCGTATTACTGAAGTATTTCAGCACATCGTGCAATTCCTTTACGGCCTCTTGGAGGCAGCCACCAATTTCCTGGAGCTGCATGGTATACGAGTGTCCGATAAACATCAAGTTGGCTTCGAGGAGAAGGGCTTCGTAATGGGCCAGATGAATATGAGCTGTGCTGTATCACGGGGTTAACCAGGAATATCGCATAGTATAAGTATATGTTACCTACTAGTAATAGACATATGTCATCTTGATAAAGGATGTCACTGAATGTCGCACATCAGAAGGTGTGGACGACAGAGTATACCGCCACTCCGTCTCCCATTGACGCAATCGATTTCTCGTCTTCAGAACGTTACCCATGCATGCTGGAAATTCCTTTGAGGGTAGTCCCATTGCAGAGCTATCACACGACGAAAAGATCAAGGAAGTCATGTCAGTAAGGACAATCGCTAGACGGCACTGCTGCTGCAGCACCTTAAAAACAATGCGCTTGGTCTGCACGTCATACACCTTGGATTCCTGAATCTCTTCGATGAAGTCTGCCTCCTCCAAAGCACTATTTTCTGCATCGAAATCCTTCGTCGTAAGCTGGCTGCGTCGGCGGAGAGCGAGGGAAATCCATCGGTCGCGCAGCAGGATTGACCACCATAGACGTTTGATGGTGGACTCTTTAAAACTCACTGATGGCTTCGGGGGCTTTCCTAGAATGATGGCATTCTGTATCGCATTGGCCAGAAGTAAACTACCAATCTGGGGATCATCCGGGGAGGCTTGGTAGGAGAGTAACAATGCCCCCTGTGCCCTTTCTAATGGTCGATCTTCAGCTTTGAGGTCCAGTAGCAGCTAGAAAGTGAGTTAGCGTCACAAAGTCCAGACTCATAACGCAGGGATATGTTGCTCGCCTTGGCTCTGTTGAAGAAAGCATCCCCTGCTGTGGGCCGGTCTTTAAATCCACACTGATGCAGGGCCTCGAATGACACATACTGGAAAGTTTAGCATATACATTTATGAGATTAAATGAATGAGGTTTACCGGACAGCTTCTGAACAACATGGCTTGTAATACTAAGACAGAGAGACTGCGACCGTGTGACGATGCGCGATTCCTTTGCTGGGAGTACAACTGCCAGAACTCTGCCTCGTCTAGAATCGGGGTACTCATATGGATATGCAAGAAGTACTTCTTCACAAACTCATCGAGAATCGACTGTCCAGGCAACGTAAAACATCCTTTCGAGGCTAGGTATGAAATATCCCATTTGTCCAGGGAAGACAGCGAGCGAAGCTCAAGGAATCCGTAGGCAGAGTATTCGACAGTAGAGGCGGAGATGGATACAGCCGTGGCACTACCTGACAAATTGACCGACGGCAGCCTGCCGCCACTGTCGGGTTGTGTTTCATTGCCCTGCTGTGTCTGTGGTGGTTGATCCGGGGCGCTCACGGGAATGTCGGTTTCCTGCAGCTTGTACGATACCGCGCTTCTACCTTCCAAGATCAAGCCCTTGGAGCTGCGAAATTGATCAGCTCCAGTGCCTCGCCCTGATGCTGTCCGGAAAAGGGGAGGATATGAGACAAGATACTTACAGGCGCGGAGCGCGCTCCCGGAAGGTGCATGGCTGGCCATCCTGGAGGCACCTGGAACAAGGGCATCCGCCAAACGATGCGTCACAGCGCACCTTGCGCTGCTGACACCAGATGCAGGCTCGAGTGGCCCTTCTGGATCGCGGGAGGAACATGTGTGGGTTGGCACTTCACTTCCAACAGCGCACCACGGACTTGATCTTGCTACCTGGTGCAAGGAGCTGAATGACTGAGGCCGAAAACATCAAGTTGAACACAGCCAACGCTGTTACTGAAGAAGGCTATCGCGAAGCAGAGTCGACTTTACGCGGGGAAGCGACTAGAGCCCTGACTACGACATGCTTGTTCGGGGTGAGATCTTCATCGTCCAGGACTTGACTGTGCTGCTTTGAATCAGCATCCACGTTTAATTAGCTTGTCCCTGAATCATGTTCATGGCCGTCATTGGTCCGATCTTGGGCTGAAAGGTCCCTCTGAAGATCATTGGGCAAGCCCATTGTCCTCGGCTCATGCGCAACAACACATTCTTCTTGTGATGACTTTGGTAGATCGCTGTACGCGTGTCCACCTTTCATGTACAAGTGCCGTTGAAGCTGTCTAGTAGAAGGGCGATCAGATACTCTAGCGTACGGCAAACCCCGCAACCATCGATGATCAACATCAAGTCATTCGCATGTGGAAGCCCTCGGTCCGCGGGCGTCGTCGTATTCGATACGAGGCAAAGCTGAGCCCTCCTGGGCCATCGCGTGTTGATACCAGGGATAGTGCCTGGTGTGTACATTATGCTGCCAATGAGATGTCCAGCGGATAGAATGGGATGGGGTTCTGCAGGGGGCAATGGCGCGAATTGAGGGATCCCTGCCGAATCTGCCGGATGCCGATCCTAAGGTCCGGGTTGAGATATCACAATAGATTGCGACGGAGATTAGCCAATCCCACACCAGTAATAGTATGGTGTAAGTAGGAGATACTATGCTATGGAGAGAAGCTTTCGTTAGAATCGGCTTGGTCAACACCAGAACAACATGGCCCACAACCGTTTGATCTTCGCGGCTAAGGCTGTAGCTATTCGACACATGCTAACTTCCCTTGATGGGGCTGGCTTGTCCACTTTTTTCGCCTATGAGACGGACTTTGTGCAGCCTATAGATCAATGTACTATGGTTTGAATCCGTTATCGAGCACATATTCGTCCTCAAATCAGCACCGAATGGTCGAAGGCATCTAAACTCCCTGTGTTAGAACTCCCCGCGTATGAGGATGAATTCCCTCCTCGGCGAGTTCAGGCGGTTAATGGACACCCTTAAGTACTTCTACCAGGTCCATGAGCCCTGGGCGTCATTATTCCAATCATGGCTGGCACGACGCAAAATGACGGCGGCAAACGCTGAACGAAAGCACATAGATGTGCTCATTCATCAACATTCAGAACACAGCAAGCGTGTCAAATTCCACACATATTGGTGCTACTCTCCCTGTTTTCACGCGATCGTAGATTAATGGCGGCCCCCAGCTTCCCGTAGTTCTGGCACATTGGAGGCGATAGAACTCTGAACAGCCAAAATGCCGTCCCGATCAATAAGGACCTTCGCCAAAGAAACCGATATCTGATTTATTAGTCACTCTCACACCTAGGGCCATCAATCCTCTTCAAGGTAAACTTTATGGAATATCCTAAGTTAAGTGACAAGCTCGTCTTATCGTGATTGGTGCTCTATATACTAATGAATGCGGCCTCTTGAACATGCATAGCTTATAATGTGATGCTAAGTCCGGTCGATAATGATTTCTGTATCAACGGGGAATGTATTCGCCAGTGGCTTTTTACTTCGTAGGGCTCTGAGTTGATAATCTTAGTCACATGGTTATAGGCATCTCGCGGGCGTGCATTCTGTATCGTCCAGCCACCCAAGTTGTTTTCTATGCTCGCATACTCTGTGTTCTGGACCTACCTGGTCCGGCTGGGTTGGTATTAACGCATTTATCTCACGCAGGCAGAATGTCGCGAGTGAACGATAGACTATATGTATAGTCACCGGGGGTATTAACTATCATACGAATACGAAACACAATACCTTATTTCTCTCCTGTTCCACCACAACAAACAGCCTACAGGACTGACGATGTGCGGTTAAGATCGGCGCTTACTGCATTGCCAAGATGACTCCAGTGGGGTTGGTCGGGTTCACATATGAACACACCCTGCGCCGCCTCATGTCACCAATTTCAACCTTTGCGGCTTGCTCTTGGTTGACTGATAGTGCAGATAAACATCATCACAGATTTGGACATGGAAGCCGTCGGCGCTGCATCAGCAATCCTCTCGATTGCGACAGCTGGGGTCCAGTGCTCCGTCCGGTTGATCTCATTTGCAGCACAGATCAAGACCGCACCGGAGCGAATTACACATATTGCAGAAGACGTCTCCTTGAACACTAGCATTCTGCAGCAGGTCGGTGAGTTGATCAAACAAAGCGCCGATGGAGGTGAACTGCCAGGCTGCCCGGAGAATGAAGGAGGACAAGAACAGCATTCGAGGATCGCCGGAGAGGGGACCAAGCCTACTGAGGCAAAGCAGGGTGTGTTCAGTGCCGCGGGATTGGCTACAACCATGAAGATAGCCACTAAATGCGAGGGTATCTTCAGCGTTCTGGACGATCTGCTACACAAAGCAAGTAGACAACTGAGTCAGGGACCGGGAAAGACCGTTCAAGTCAAGCTCAGCAGAGTGCAGAGACTAAAGTGGCCATTTTTGCAACCAGAGATGGATACAATACGTAATGAGCTGAAAGACGCGAGGGGGACGTTGACATTAATGCTTCAAGTTGCTATGTTGGCCTATTCGACCAAGGGAATGCAAAGGTAGAGGGCATTTCTCACCTACAACGGGGATCCGTTGCTAACACCTAAGCAGAGCCAACTGGCAATCCCAACCCAATACGGTGATCATTCCATACTCTCGAGAAGATCTAGCATGGCTTAAGAGATCGATCGTGGCCATTCGAAAAACACAGACTCTTGAGAGCAACCCACAGAAAGAGAGCCTATCGACGAGCGTTGCTTCGTTTGAATTGAATACTTGCCAGTTTCCAGATGTCCCCGCGACGACTAATAGTAAAGGTTCAGAGGCAATGTTCGACAATACTGATCACGAATCGGCATCAAATCCTAAAACCCGAGAGCGTTCTATATTTGACCCAATACCTGACCCAGACGGAAAGTTGCTGTACGGCTGTTCTATTGGCTTATCCAATTCACTCATGTACTGACAGCGATGTAACAGGGAGCTTTTCACTTCCTCTCACAGGCAACAGGAATGCACCCAAACTGGAGCCACTTCCGAGCCAGCAGGGCCTTCATCGGCGACTTTAACTGTGCATTTATTTACCCCACAAGCTTCGATTCAAGACAATGAAATCCAAGTTAACCACCGCTATCACACAGCCAACCTTTCCTCGAAGGAGATTAAATCCCAACTGGATGCATGGAAATATTCTACGCCTTCTAGTATCTGTGAGCAATTACAGGTCCTGACGCTCAAGGAGCGTGTTGCGTTGGACACGAACAACCTCATCTTTCACACCACACCGTATCCATGGCACAAGCCAAAATTGGAATGGATACATTTCGGCGAGTATGTCCCAGTCATCGAGGGTTTGGAGACGCCAAAAGCCAGAGCTTTGACCGTTATTACGAGTTCAGAGACGCCAGGTCTACCGTCTCCCAGGGACCATGGTCCTCATTGGACCATGGGCAAGCAGGACAAACCCGTGCCTCGTCCACAACCAGCTTTAAGGCCAAAGCTGAAAGCGGAACTAGAGGATATAGATGATACGATTGCAGCAACCGGCGCAGGGTCAGCAGTTGCGGTCGGTGTTGCCCGCTCGGCCACATCATTGAATATTGAAACAGAAGAAGAAAACGAAGAGGAAGAGGATCAAAACGACCATTTATCGGAGAATGATTGGGAGGTAGAAAATGTTGTTCAAGGGCTTTTGGCCGCCTATACTACCTGATTGGTTTCAAACTTTTATGAAGCATGTAGTCGGCAAGATATCGCGCGCGGTAGTTTGCAATGCTGATCATCGCTTTTTGCACAGTCTACTATTGCATGCCATTCTTTTAGAGCTACCACGTGTCTCGGACGAAGGTTCTCGCAGCGCATGTAGATGGCTAAGGTGTAAGAGAGGGAGTCCGAACCCGAGGGCAGAGCAAGCGGAGGTGGCCCAGTTGTTGTACGTATCGCAGGGTGATCACAAAGGCAAATTTTAAAAGATTACAGTATAAGAGTCTTCCAGACCTGCGGCACGCGTGTAATTCCTTCTTCCCACTCGACATGCGGTCTGCCTTCGAGATGCATGTGGCCAAACAAGATGATATAGCTAGAGTGGCCAATGGCTAGGCTGGGGTAAGCGATGGGGATCTTTATACTAAACCGCAGTTTGGACAATTAATCTTGGTTCATTATAGTTAGTGCCGTAGCCCACTGCTGATGGAAAGGTACATACAACACCTCCCGGATACCCACTGGACCTTCTCTCTAACTGCAGGCAGAGCCGAACGATCGGCCACTTCAATCTACTTGAGCGTCGATCCCCCTCCTCTCATTCTCACGGTCACACTGGCTACGCGGTCGGACAGATCTGTGCTTAAGAGGTCGTGCTTACGGCCGCTGAAGCTATAGTGGATGAGATCGACCCCGGGAATCTCTACAACCTGGGAAGAACTAGATTGCGCTGTGTCAACTTCATGAGACGGCAGAAGCCAAGTTTCAAAATGTTATCGCAAGCAACAAGCCACCTTAATCGTGCCATATCCGTTCACTAACAGTTATGATCAGGCGTATATACTAGCGCAGCACAATCCTTCTTCCATGGCTGTTGCCCTGCTAGGAAACACTCCTACCCCCAACATATGCACGGGTTCAGTGCTGCAGTTCCTCTACTTTCACCAATCCATAAGAGTCAATCGTACCAGACGTTAGCGATCGTCTACTTGGTGGTCGGGGTAAATGTACCTTAATCCAATTCAAAGCACCATGACTACGTGATTTCCCAGTAAACTACCACCTATGGCATGCGATCATAAGGGGCACCAAACAACACTGCGGTTTTGGAAAATTTGGGCTATGCTGCTATTTTTCCACTTGAGGTATATGCCAGATGCCAGGGGTTAAATGCAGATAGTTCTCCGCCATGCTACTCAACCCAGACCGCTTGCTCTACTCATCTTTTTAAGGCGAATACCTACCGTCCATAATCTGATGGGTTTAGGGTACTTGTTTCCGAGGAGCTATATTGTTCTATTTGGTTTTGTTGTCCATATAAAAACTGCCTGTCCTCTGTATGTCTATGGAGACTAGGCCTTCCTTAGACTACACTCAAATTCCGAAGATAATACCATGGCGTCTCTCGATCAGGTTCAAGCAGTGGAGTCCATCATTCAACACAGTTTCAACAACAAAGTCTACCCTCGTCAAGCCCTGACTGCTGCAGGTGTGGAAAATGACAATCATGAGGGTAATAGACAGCTAGCACAGGTTGGTGCCTCCTGGGTTGACACGGTACTCAACATAGTTTTCATGCGCTTGGGTATAAGCAAAGGTTGGTGTAATACTATGATCGATACACAGACACAGCTGAGTTGAGAATATCTCCAGAGCACAAGGCAAAGCTGAGACTGGAGCTTACGAAGAAGGACCACCTTGTTCTTGCTGCTAAGCGAAGTGGGATCAGCAAGTGTATCAAGTACTCTTGCCGATCGGGGTTCGAATCAACGGCGGTGCTCCGCAATACAATAAATGCAATCGTTGCAGCTGTCCTTCTCGATACTAACGGGAGTATTCCGGTGACACTATTTGTTCTGTCGCGGTACGACCATTATGGAGCGTTCGGAGGTCCAGCCGACTAATGCAATTCTTTCATAGCATCTTCGTGACGCCTGATACCCAATATCTCGAAGCTGGCTCAGAGACAATTGTGGAAGCTGTATCTGCTGTCAGGGCCGCTGCCCTGACTGCAAGAATCGATTTTTCTGGTGTACTGACGCCCCCGGCCATCGAATCTTTACCAATTGATCTATCATCACAAACTATGGTCGATCCAGAACAGCGTCCAATGTTTATTCTTCCTATTCATAGCAGCCCGTATACCCCGGTTCCTCCATTGTTTGGTTGCGACGATCCTTTTGCGACGATCGTTCCTACCCTAGGCATCACAAGTGAACCCAATATCTTACCCAACTTCCACCAGCAGCCTGAATACCCAGATCATGTCTTCCAGATAAACCCTCTCCTTGGTGGTATCACAGTTGAAGAGCAGCCAAGTGTTAGTATTGACCCCCCGAGTGGACCTGAATACGCTACATTTCCAGTACCACCTGTCATCCCATACGAAGCGCCGAGCTCAAGTACCACTAAGCCTAAGAGGCCTAGTGAAACCGAGAGAAACGACAAACAAAAGAGGAAGCGTGTAAAAAGTACACAACTCCTTCGTCTTGACCCTGAGCTCAAAGATTTCCTGGCCAACGAGAAGACGAAATGCGAACAGCAAGGCTTGCGGCCTCCAGAGGTCACATACTGTACACCTGAGATTCAGGAACAGTTGATGAATCCGGAGAAGAAGTTGTGTGAGGCTTTCATACGTCTGGTAATAAATATTGCAAGTCCCCATACAATACTTGCGCTAGGTCGGGTGATACAAAGGGCAAGAAAGAATGACAGTTTTCGATCATGTTGTCTACGAGACACTATCCCGAGCCATAGGTTCCGTTTGATTGAGCGCCTAGAGCAAGAGGCTGGCATTATTCAGATTATGAGTTGGTACCATATTCTTGAACTGTTCCGAGATTGTGGTGGTCATAATACTGTCTCTAGTACTGGCTATGTTCATTGCACAGCGGACACGTTCCAGAAGCCTGGGAGGATTATGGGAAATCCGAGAAATATGGACGAGCATAAAGTCGCCCAAACCATGATGGCGGAAATCTTTCCAGATTTGAAACCGGATACAGAGGATTATCAAAGCCAACTAAAACGATTCAACCGGCTACGGAAAGTCGGCAAGCGTCTTCACATATTGACAGAGACCTTCGGCCAGGGAATTCTCGGACTCATTCTGGACAACACTTCAGATGGTCGGCTTGATCGCTATATGTCAGATATCATGTAAGTTAGTTTACTACTTTGTATACGTAGCTGACGATATGCAGGTTCTGGAAGCCCACGGAAGAAGAGTTCCGTCTCTTTATCCGACTTCTCAACAAGTCGCAAGGCGAGCTTCTCCGTCGGTTCAGTAAGCCCGCTTGGGCCATTCTAGAGCCCGTTCTCTACGGTAGGCTGGCGGAAATGGGGATATTTCACATAGAGCAAATGTGCCCCAACGAGATTTTAAAGTATCCCAAGGGCGCTCCGGGGCTATTGGCTTGTATTCAATGAAGCAATGAACCACGATCGTTAAGCATCCAAGAGTCCGGCCAATGATTCTGCTAGCTGTTCATACTTGTAATCGAAGTCGATGAAATCTCTTACATCTGTAGTCCAGTGATATAGTTTTTGCGCTATTTGAACTAGACCGTGTGTTCGTGAGCCAATAGTACAATTCTGACACGCAGCCATGGCCTATCTACGGCCAACACAAATACAATAGGGTCGGGTGCGTATATATTCCAACGGTTTGATCCGTCAGAATTCATTCGCCGTGTCAGAATGGGCAGGTAACGAAAGGAATATCGATTGTTGCAATCGTTGGGAAGCCCAATCTGTGAAGCCAAAATACTGTTGATCTTGCGACCAGCCATCGGAATAGTCTGCATTTCCCCTTAATTCTTTCTAATCCTATTTACTAGGACGTATGCGTTCCATGGCGATATCTTTGAGGGACCTTAGCTGGCAAGTCTATACCTGTTTTGGTAATAAAACACCCTCGGGGCGGAAACCTCCCTTTTGGGAAGCGGCACGGCAAAGTTGCAGCAAAACCAAGATATCGTTGGATGCACTCCCACGCTACCCGAGGAAGGCATACCGCTTCCAGTACCATACCTATCTATCCTTCGTCCGCTTCGACTGCAGATCGTGTATACGGGTAAAGATTCTCGATCATAGTGGTCGCGCGCGAAATAGGGCATCGTTTCCGTTTTAGATCGGCTACTCCGAAATTATAACGACCTTCCTACAGGAGGCCCTTAATGATAACGTGTATTGCGAGCTTCTACTACTCTAGGTTTAGAAAATGATTGTCTCTGCGATATTGCTGCGACACGAACAGGCAGGGAGTGGAATCAGTACAATCTTTGCTGCCCCATTCGTGCAAAGACCAGTTGTCATAATTCTTGATGCCTGTTGAACTACGCGGGGTCGTTCTTTATCAAAAGGGTAATATGAATATCTTGGTGCCTTTACTACTTTATGGGGTATAGTGTACATACCAAGGCCCATAGTTAAGGTGATCGGCATGCCTAACCCAAGGGTGAGGATACGTTTGCGACGGTGAGGTTTCTGGAAAGTACAGGGCTTAAGCCCGCAATTCCTCCCCATACAATACAGCATTTATTATACTGAGAAAAACACAGTGTAAAGTTATATTACAGTAGCCCGTACCGTAGGATTACGGAACGGAATAGATTGCGTAATGCAAAAGGAATCTCTCACAGGGACATCTAGTTTGAACCCTACAGGGTTGAACGGTGCCGCTCCCAAGCTATATTCGCGTAGGCCATGGTATGCTGATTTAGTCCACATTTCTCCTTCTTTGGACATCCTTGCATTCTTGCCCCAGTCGCGACATGAGCTAAGAAAGAGCTCGGATAACCATATAGGGGCGAGACGTGGTGGATACTGATGGCCCTGAGGTATCATGAACTACCAAGGTGTCCACATAGAACATAAATGTGGACGGAGACCTAGAGCTCTACGGTTGAAAACATCATCACTTCTCCCATATCTGACTATAATTGACATATCACACTGAGTATCAACGATCCGCAAATATGGGTTCTATTGAGGATTTTACTAGTTCAACCGCCGGGACCACCCCAACCATTCCTCCTTTATCTGACGTGGCTGTGAATGACCCAATATTCTCCGACGAGGTCATACGTTATCATCTGGGCCTCCTTAAGTCCAGTCATGGAGGCGAGGTGGTCTCAGACGAATCGGCGTATGCACCGATCATCTCAAGCAGTGTTTTAGCTTGTCATGCAAACCTTGGAAATGGGCAAGATAACCCTAAGATCCCACAGTTTGGGTTATTAGCCGGGTCAAGCCCACTTCTGAAAGGTATTCGCCCAAAGCGTGCCTCTCCTCTCGCGAGCTTGGATGAGGATCCTCGACTACTATTCAATGTTTCCCATCCTTCTAGCATCTTTATATGTGGCTCCCAGGGTTCTGGGAAGAGTCACACATTGTCATGCCTTTTGGAAAATTGCCTGATATCATCAAAGGCCGGAAGGTTACCCAAGCCGCTAACAGGGCTGGTCTTTCATTATGATACGTTTATCAGTGACACAGTGGGATCCCCCTGCGAGGCGGCCTTCTTGTCATCGCACCCAGATGTGCAAGTCCGAGTACTTTGCTCCCCCACTAACATTCACTCTATAAGGGTAAGCCTTCTGCAATGCAATCTACTAGATAAATATCTTAACATACTGGATATAGGATTACTATTCAAGGTTTAATATACCAGTTGATCCATTACAGCTTGATCAGAACCATTTGAATACAAAACGAATGATGGATTTGATGGCCATTGGACAAAAGGATGGGCAGATACCACTGTATATACACACGGTGAAACGAATCCTTCGTGAACTACGTATCGTACAACAGGAGGCAGGGACACCATTCAATTATCAAGAGTTCAAGCAAAGAGTCCTAAGCTCTAAGTTGACTCGTGATCAGTTGGGGCCTTTAAAGCAACGGCTCGATACCCTAGAGAGTTTTATGCCTCGAGAGCAAGTGAACATATCGACGTCAAATCAAACAAACGTTGCAAAGGGCTCCATGTGGGACCCAGTGGTAAGTACCGGAATTCCTTTCGCCTTCGGTATCCGCTAAAGCATCTAGCCTGGCCGTTTAACTATTGTTGATATGTCCTGTCCATGTATATCCCCAGAGACGGCATGCTCGCTGTTCAATATTTGCCTGGGCATCTTCCTCGAACAAGACCCAACTATTGGTCGGGTGGTTGCACTTGACGAAGCACACAAGGTATGTAGTTCTGCCGGGCTTATGGGTATTTCTAACAAACATGAAGTACATGAACTCCTCTGCAGAGGCCGGGATTTTCACAGAAACACTATTATCAGCGGTTCGTCTTCAACGGCACCTTGGGGCTCGAGTTATCATCTCTACCCAAGAGCCGACTGTCTCGACCGCGTTGTTGAATTTGTGCTCTGTTACAATTGTTCATCGGTTTACCTCCCCAGAATGGCTCCGAACGTTGCAAAAGCACCTTGCAGCAGCAGCAATCAACCTTTTCTCTCGAAAGAGTGGCTCCGGCAACCATGATAGTGAGACGGAAGAATCGGGGGCCGAGAAGGAGTCTCCCTCAGCATTTGACATTATTGTCCGTCTTCGTGTTGGCGAAGCATTGCTGTTTGCGCCGAGCGCAATTGTCAAGGTCGGAACACTGGAGGATGGCCGCGTGGAGTTCCACCGACTTGGCTCCGATATCTTGCCTATAAAAATCCGGGAACGATTAACATCTGATGGTGGAAAGAGTGTCCTTTCGGTTTGATTCCAATGTTTTCTATGTCTGGATTTGCATAGCTACATGGAGATTTCTACTTCATCGTGCAGGAGTTCATCATTTCAGTTACACGTTGGTTGTGTTTCAGAGCAAGGTTTTCTCTAGCTACTCAATTATAATTGTACTCCTAGCTAGCTATGTCCGTTAATGCCAAACCTTGCTTATTCATAGATGTTGCATTTTGTTACTCAGTACAGTGATATGAATGCCAAACTTTACTGTTATTGCCTAAGGGCCTCATAACCAGGTACAGTCGGACTTAATTTGTAGGTGACTCAGCTCATTAATGGACAAGGGCGTCCATAAACATGCCAAATTAAGGCATACGTCCTTTCACAATAGATTCAAAATCTATCATTGCAGGGCGAGGGTTGCTCACCTTACATTGGAGGAATACATCGCATCAGCATGAGTACACAACGCGTGACATCTTTAATCCATCCAAAAGCATACATATCCGAACTTCAATAGTAATCTTGACGCTAAGTACGTATTCGATCATTAGTTTAGCCTGCAGGCATTAGAGTGCATCGAGCAGAAGGAATTTGTGGTAGCCACGCTAGGGGATAAATGTTGCTGCAAAGGCACCACAGTTGTAGGCCTCCCGCCTTTGGCCTATGCAAAGCTTGAAAGTCCAATATTATTGGCTCATAATACGCCTACTCCTTGCAGGCCTAACTCCAGATGGAATAATGATGCCATATGTTTGCTACTCCTGTAGTATCTCGCCTGAGATCATAGGCAGCTAACAATGCAACACGGATTGGGTATCATATTTAGGGGCAAGGAGAAGGGACAGCATACAACAGGGTGATGCTATTGAAGAACGAGGCAAATGGTGTCAAACAATAGGTGGAAGAGTAAGGAGAAGCCATAGCTCTGTAATACCTGGAGGTAAGGTACACTCAGCATAGACACATAACCATTTTTCTGGAACACTGCAGCAACAAAAATGTGCCTGTCTAGATGCATTAACAATGGCCTATCTCTACCCACCTTTCCCGATATGCTACATGATCGCAAAGCTACTCTATGTTATATTCGTCACGCGAGGGTGTGGAAAGTCTTGACCGCCAATGTCCTCGCATTTGGAGAACCTTTGATTCAAAGGCTTACGTTGCATAAACGATGTTTGTACTAGGTCAAAAAAAAATGGATTTACCCACAGGTGCTATTTCTATACTCTCAAGGCGGGCCACGGGCCATGGCTTTAAAAGGGGTGCATTCCCTCCTGGTCATTATCTGAAGCAACGTGATATCCAACAGTCACTTGTCTATGTTCAAAATGGGGCCCAAAGATAAGTCAAAGGACAAATCCTTTTGGTCTTCTATCAAGGCTCTACAGACAGCAGTGGAAGACACAATAAATCATTCCAAATCTTTTAAAACCCACGAAGAACTACAACAGAAAATAACACAGCTTGAGGATGAGCTCAAGGCAGCATATTCCACGATAGCAGATAACAAACGGCAGTTGGAGGAAGAGCGTCAGAAGCGCCAAACATTATTGAATGAGAAGACATATCTCAATAACTACGTGGAAGAGCGTATCAGAGGATGGTCGGAAAAAGAGAAGGAGCTTCTGACCCAGTTACAAAAGACGAAGGAGGATGCAGAAGCGAGTGCCAACACCAAGTTACACGACTTAGAAACAAACGTCCGGAATCAAGCCGAGCAGCTTCGCCGAGTCCGTACCGAGCTAGAAGAGCGAGATACAGCAATCATGGGTCTACAGGGGCGCCTCACACAGAGTCAACAAGAAGTTCAAGAATTGAAACGGGCGACTCAACTAGAAGACTTTGGGCCTGATCTGTATGTGCCAGCTTCATATCTCCCCCCCTCCCCCCGAAGTTATCCACTGGTTCATGTAGGCTAGGGTTCAGAATATCAAAGAGCTCGAGGCGGCCTTGCACGATATTGTTCAGAGATATTTTTACAAAAGTTTTCCGTCCGACACCAGCCAGGTATATTTTCTATCAGACCTGCCTAGTGATTGGATACAGATCTCTAACAAAACCAAACAAGATGATCACTACCATTCAACAAGTCCAGTGGAAGGGATCTACAACCCCAAATCCTTTCTCAATGTTTCCGATACCAGCGATTGTTCACTCTAAAAAGCTCCGTGCTTCCTGCGTGCAATCCATAATTTCTAGCCACCTCTCCCGCAACATATTCCAGCCACTCCGCCTTGAAGTACCAGCTAGCCGATTGCCAATGGGTTATGCCCTTGACTATTGCGATCAAATTACATCTCAGGAGAAAGCATTATTACGTGCACTTCTGGTAAAGGTGTTTGAGTCAGATGAACGGAGGCAAGTAGACGAAGACATTGAAAGCGTTGTCTCCGAGGTTGTCCATATAGTTGAGCCTTTACTAGAGACTGGTTGTATTGCGTTCGAGGAGGACCTCCGTCACTTTCTCCAAGATGCAGCCGACTTGTGGGGCAAAGTGCAACAGAGCTCTAAGTGGGTGACAACAGTTTCTGACGGTCACCTCTCTGCTGAAGCCGGGAGGTCTAATAACGGCAAGGGTACAGAGCTTCGTGGACACCCTGTTTTAGTCTTGTTTCCCCACTTTATCACCCCGGAGGAGTCATTGCCGCTTCACAGGGGATCCATGCTCCAGGCAGACAGCGAGTCTATAGGACAAGCCCCAAGCAGGTGGTTAGACGTTGAACGTACCACGTCCAACGAAGGAAGCGCAGTAATACTCCGAGAGGTCCCTAGGTACAACTACAGTGTCCCCGAATCTGCGAAGAATGAGAAATCATTCACGCAGCATCTGAATACGCGGAAGAGACACGAGTCTCAAACGAGACAGAGCCGGGCTTCCCGGGGCAACAGTATTTCGAGGGGATGTTAAGAGAGTATCCGTCAGTTATTATACTCGAAACCGGAACAATCGCTTGGCTTTTGGCTAATGTAGCTCGATACCTCATCTGAAACACGATGTGTACGACTCATATTCGTTCTTCAAATCAATTTGCAAGTCTATTATTCTACTTCGTAAATCTTTGATAAAGCCCCATCGGATCGGACGTCAAGGAGGACTAAGACCACCTAGGTAGTACAGTGTTCACCACAGGCAGTCGTAGCAGTCCAGGCCTTACCACATAGACTCGGCGGAACAGATATTAAGTGCGAGTTGCCCTTATATATACGGTGATATCATCCTTTTAATATTAATATCACTATATAACTATAGATGGCAATATTATGGTCGTTATCGTCGCCAACGCCAGGGATATATTTCACAACGATGGAACGTACCATTCCGACGATGGAAAAGAAAAGCGACTGCGTTGTCGAAATATAGACACAATTTCGAGAGACTGAGTTACTCCGCACAAGATTGTTCAAATTTTATCGTTTGAATATGGGGTAGAATACACGACAACTCTGATATGGGAGGAACTAGGAAGCAATATCACAATAGTGCCAAGTGTCACGAATGGCTCGCTCAGGGCCCCAACTTCCAAGTATGGCACTACAAATTAACCAGGAGGTTATATCCCCACATTGAGACGAGGAACATATTGAAGCCAAAACCTGCCAGCGAAGGGACAAAACTTAGGAGTCCCTCGATCTAACTTATTGATCGGCCTCTGTAGTAGATATATATTCGCCTCGCTATGAGGATATAAACTACTAGGAAATTGAGTAATTGTGTTAAATGGTTAATGAGAAATCAAATAGTATTCAGCCAATGGGCCGTCATGATCACACATGGCAATTTGCCTTCGACTGTCATCAAGATCGTCTGCGTGTTATAAACCATTGCAAGATGTTCAAGAAGCCCAGTCCAAGAAACTACAGTGGTTTGCTTTGTTTGCGTGGTGCTTAGTCATCCACTCCCGGGACGTGGCACTATTCCACTTCAGGAAGTATAATTTTCACGGAGGGTTAACTTCCTCATTGGGACAAATACATCCAGGCGACAGGCAGAAATCATGCATTCTTGGTCTCAAGAGCCCCCTGTGGATTCCGGTGATCCTTGATGGACAAAGTGAAAAAAAAAAATAGAATTGCCGGATCAAGTGTGGTCAAAGCTACCATGGCACGCTTTGCGGCCACAGTCCCAATCAACTAGCATTGCTTTCTGCTTGCTACCGAGTTAGGGTGGGATGAATGCAGCATAACGGAGAGATTTCCATTACTGACAGCATATTCTGATCCTTACATGGAATTATCCTAAGGAATTCGCCCTTGCAGGAGGAACCAAGTAGGACACTAGAATTCAATTGCCCATTCATTGTTGGTCTATAAATCAGGCCTTGCCCACCCTTGTTCCTCAGAGATCATCAATCTCATCTCTTCGAATCATACATTGTGCCATCGTGCTGCCTGAACAAAATGGTCCTGAGAAAATTCTTTACAAACTCCCTTGAAGAGCTTTGCACCAAGGAGCAACTAGAATTGCTCGACTCCATTGACACACTACGTTTGCAGGGCATCAGCCATTATATTTCGCTGCCCCAAATCATCGTCTGTGGGGATCAATCCTCTGGGAAGAGCTCGGTCCTGGAAGCAATCTCGGGTGTTTCATTCCCCGTACGAAGTAACCTCTGTACACGATTCCCTACAGAGCTCGTCCTCCGCAAGAGCCCCCAGATCGGGGTGAGCGTGTCCATTGTGCCGCACCATCACGTACGGAGATAGAACAGCAGTCGCTAAGTCAGTTCCATGAAGAACTTGAAGACTTCGATGGCTTGCCTCGTCTGATCGACAATGCCAAGGCCATCATGGGCATCTCTACACATGGAAAGGCGTTTTCCAATGATCTCCTGCGTGTCGAGATCTCCGGCCCTGACCGGCCCCATTTGACCATCGTCGATCTACCCGGTCTTATTCATTCCGAAACCAAGCAGCAGTCGGCAGCGGATGTGAAACTTGTGCAGGATGTTGTACAGTCCTATATGCAGGAGCCACGTTCAATTATCCTGGCTGTGGTGTCTGCCAAGAACGATTTCGCTAATCAGATTGTCCTTAAATTAGCCCGGGAGGCTGACAGGACCGGATCGCGGACGTTAGGTGTTATTACCAAACCGGATACTCTGACCCCGGGATCGGAGACCGAGGCGATGTTTGTTTCCTTGGCGAGGAATCAAGAGGTCTCCTTCCGTCACGGTTGGCATGTACTGAAAAACAAGGATTCAGAGAAGAGCAACGGGACGTTGGTGGAACGGGATGTGGAGGAAGAACAGTTTTTTGCCAAGGGTGTCTGGCGAGACCTTCCCTCATCTGACGTTGCTATTATGCCTTTTCGGGAGCGCCTAAGCAAGGTACTACTTGGGCAAATTGCGACTGAACTTCCCAGCCTGATAGAAGAAATTCAAGTCCAAGTTGGTGACTGTCAGCGGAAGCTGGAGAGACTCGGACGCCCTCGAACTACTATAGCTGAGCAAAAGTACTATCTCTTGCATATCAGCCAGAGCTTCCAGAACCTTGTGAGGACTGCCACTGATGGCACATACGACGACCCCTTCTTCGATAGTGCTCAGTCGACGAATGGTTATAGCAAACGGATACGTGCTGTAATGCAAAATCTGAATCAAGAGTTCACTGAAAGGATCAACTCGGGCGGTCATTATCGTGAAATTACAGAGGGATGTAAGACCGAAGCAGTATCGAGACATCAGATCCTAGTCACACGAGAAGACTATATCCAGCATATCCAAGAGGTTCTCAAACGCACGCGAGGCAAAGAGCTCCCTGGAACATTCAATCCGTTAATAATAGGTGAGCTCTTCCGTGAACAATCCAGCCAATGGGAAACTATCGCGCGAGGTCACGTAACGACCGCCTGGAATACCGCAAAAAAGTTCGTTAGGGCTGTTGTATTGCACATAAGTGATATCACTACCTCGAACGCGCTGCTCCAGGAGGTTGTAGACCCGAGGTTTGACCAGCTCCTGAAGGACCTGCAGCAGCGAACCAGTGATCTTCTTCAGCCCCATCAGCAGGGCCATCCAATCACATACAATCACTATTTTACCGAGAATCTTCATCAGGCCCGGCGCGAAGTTTGGGGAGATAGTCTGTCAAAGATCATTCGCAACTTCTTTGGCGTCTCATCCCTGAAGGATGTCTATCTGGATGAAAGATCATATGATCTGCATCGTCTTCGTGATTCGATCCTTCAGTCCACAGAGTCTGACATGAGCCGCTTTGCTGCCACAGAGGCGCTTGAATGCATGCTTGCGTACTACAAGGTAGGGCAGTTCTGTCTGTCCGACACCCCGGGGTTCCTTTCTTCATCTTACTAAGTTTTATCAGGTCGCTCTCAAACGGTTTATTGACGGTGTGGCGATCGAGGTCATCGAGACCAATCTCATCAAGCCACTGACAGATATGTTTGCACCGTTAATTGTGTTTGATATGCCTGATGACCTTGCAACGCGTATTGCGGGAGAGTCAACAGAGAACAAGTCTCGCCGAGATCAACTCTCCATAAAGCTGCACATCCTGCGCAAGGGATCTGAAACGTGTAGAAGGTTTATTGGTATACGAGGGCTCGGTGAGAGTCTCGCCCACCCTAAGAGGCAATACCTTCCACTAATGAAGTTTTATAATATAGACATCGTTGACGATGGTCGATCCGACAAGCCGGATAGTCTGGAAGTTGTTGATACCCCAAAAGACAGCATTGCTGATCCTCACGAAAACGATAGCCATTCATTTATAGACATGTCAGTGGACAATCCCCGTTTTAGTTACAACATGCACAATGTTATTTCTCAAGTTTCCGATGACACTCCCCCTCCCGTGGATGAGCCAACCCCTGCAGAGATAGTCGCTGAATCGGACTACGATCATATAGTGGATCAGCCCAATGAAAGCCCCACCGTTCGAGTAACAGGATTGAAGAAACCGAAAAAGGGAAAAGGTAAAAAGAAATCAAAGCGGTATGACGGCGGGGAAATAGCAAAGGCACTGGAATAAAGTGGATTGAGGAGACGAATTAGATATAATGAGCCACTGCCTGTACGTGATACAAATGGTTGAATTGATGAACAGATTCGGCTGGGAGGACAACACGGCCTTAAGCAGATTAAGAATATGGGGATCTAGGGACAGAATAAACCACTTCAACAGACGGATACAGGGATCTTCCTAGTATAAACTCTAATCAAGTAGATAAGGAAGAGCCTAGGACACCTTTTTGGGGAAGTATTCGAAATGGCGTTGGCAAGGAGCTTGAATAGCTTCAAACTAAGTTGAGATGGGAAGTATTCCGGAGGTAGGGCAGACCACTATGCGGGTACCACTGCTGATATAGCAGACGGTTAGAAGACCTGAATCCTTGGCCCTCATAAGGGGGGATTAACAATCAAGTAGTTAGGGCCATGATGAGGACTGGGTAATTGTGTGAGTTGTATAACCTTCTTCCTTGGATCACGTTGTAAACAGATCTAGCGACGAGTGAAGCAAAATATACTATTCTTTGGAGAGCCACTACTACTTTTTTTATCACAAATAAATCATTGAAGGTGGAATGGCAATAATTACAGGTTGTCAAGGTCATTGACGATAACGGAAGGACGGCGACAAACCTCGTTTGATCCGTCTTACTAGAGACATATAAATATATGAATTATTGTTATGATATCTCGATCTAGACGTTCCATTTTCAGCGTCGAAAGCGTAAAATATTATAGGTGTAATGTACAATGGGACACTAAAGTAAAGAGATGTCTTTTGCCTGATGCTAAGTTGCTTGATATTCGACTCCTTTCCACATGCTATCAAAATAGAAATGAATTGAAACCTCGACGAACCAAAGACTAATTAGTTCCACTCTAGCTCCTAACATGTAAGATGTAAAAAGAGAAAGAAATTTAGCTGGAATGATGTGAAGAGGACGCAATGGAGACGATCAAGTTCATTTACTGGGAGCTTTGTCTGATAATTTAATAACAAGCAAATACAAATACATTTCAAAACCAAGGACGAGTTGTAGAGTGGTCTGTGGTCGTTGGTATACCGACTCGGAACCGAAAACTCCCCTTGACATCCCCGTACGCGACTCACCCGTAGGTCCAATTAAAGCGGCTCCTGACGAAGCAGTGCTATACCATAATATCATTTATTAGGCCTTGGGGACCCAGTTCTGAAGGGGTCAGAAACACCCCCACCCTTTCGGAGCTAACATCTGTAGGCCTCCCACATGATAGACTCCCTGCATAATGGGCTACACTCTTGATGGGCCTCCTGCATAGTGGGCCTCCGGCATAGTGGGCCTCCGGTATGGTGGGCCTCCGGTATGGTGGGCCCCCGGTATGATGGGCCTCCCGCATGATGCCTCCCGCCTAAT